TTATCCATATATCTATTTTGGTTTATAATTATTTATTTATCTTCTCTATTTATATATATATCGCTTCTAAGGAAATCTATTAAATCTCCTTAAAAATCTAGTTTTATATTTTTATATAATTTATTAATTATTAAATTTATATCATTATTATTAAGTCCTATAACAATAATATCATCCATATAACATATAAATATAATTTATTTATTAAGGTATATAAATACCCCTTCATTATATAAGCAAATAATAAATCTTAGCTTGGTTAATATATTTTTTAAGTATTTATACCAAAGCATAAGTAATTATTTTAACTCATATAAAGCTTTATTTAATTTTGTAACTTTATTTTTATATTTTAATTTATTATATATATATGCAAGTAATTTTATATATATTTCAAAATTAATATTAAAGTATAAAAACGCATTTTTAACGTCATAACTATATATATAATATCCTTTATTTATTACTATTATTAATAACATAATATAGATCTTAGGGCAATAAACTGTAGAAAAAGTCTCTAAATAATCTATGCCTAATTTTTGGTTATATCCCTAAATAACCCATTTAAATTTAAATTTAATATTATTCTTATTATTTACTACCCAACTAAGCTTTATAATAACTAAGTTATTTATAATATTTCTTTTTATATACCCATTTCCCCCTTAAAGCCGTACGGCCGGGTGGTAAATCCATTATTATATAAGTATTTTATTCTTATAAACTATATATTTCATCTAGCATAAATTTAACCCATAGGGGTTTTTCTAAGTTATTTAATACCTCTTTCAAAGAAGAAGATTTATTAATATTAGCTGCAGTTAAGCAGTATTTTAATATATTTTCTTAGGTATTTAATATAAATATTTAGTTATTTAATAATATATCTTATATAATATATATATAGTCTTTTGAATTCCCTTAAACTATTATTTTATTTAAAATAGGAGGGGAATTTTCTTCCCTTTATTCTTGTAATTCTGGGAGTATATATATATTATCATCATTATTATTATTATTATTATTATTATTATTATTAATATCGTTATTATTTATATATTGCCCTTTTAATATTTAGATATCCCAAACTAATATAAGCTTTTTATTATTTATATCCCATACTTAATATATATTTAATTCTAAAATTATATTTAATAATATACCCTTTTTATTTCTAAGTTTTAATTTAATTATATTATTATTCTAAAAATATATAATAAATCCCCATATTTTCAAGTTATTTATATAGGGTTTTCTTTTATTTATTACTTTATATAAATACTTATACCCTAAGCTTTTATGGGGTGTGATATTATATAAATATACAACATATTTTATTACTTCTCCCTATAAGTATATAAGCAGATTTACTATATATAAAAGGCTTTTAACTTTATTTATTATAATTAAATTTAGTCTTTTTATTAAGCCATTTAGTTTTTTTATATATAAGGGCATTATATGGTAATTTATAAAGTATTTATTTAATAAGATTTTAAATCTTTTATTTATATATTCGCCTTTATTATTAATAAAGAATTCTTTTATTCTTTTATTATATTTATTTTCTACCTTATTTTTATAATTATTAAAAGCTTTTAATACTTTATCTTTATTTTTAAGCAAAGAAACTTTTAAATATTAAGTTCTTTTATTAAGAAATAATATATAATATTTATATTTATTATATATAGGTTTTAAGAAACCGCTTATATTACTATATACTCTTTTAAATATATTATATGCTTAATTATTTAAGCTTATTTTATTTATTTTAATTATATGCTTAGCTTTTAAGCATACTTTATAATTACTTATATATTCTTAAATAGGTTTATTTATTAATATATTTATTTTATATTTTTAAAGAAATATTTCTAAAGCTTAAATATTTATATAGCTTAATTTATAATGCTATTTATATATTTCTTCTTTATTTTTATTATTTATATTTAAATTTTATTAAGTTATATATATTTTTTAAGAGGTATATTTAAGCTTATTTATTTATTTTATTATATTAATTTTTATAAAATATAAGCCATTTTTTTAATATTCTTAAGTTATTAGCTTATTTATTTCTTAAAAGTATAATTTAATAATATTTTCTTTTAATTTTAGTTTAATTTTATTACTTATATACTTATAATTAAGTATATTTAAACCTAAAGAAAGCATATAATATATATTAAAGAATTTCTTTATAATATTTATTTTTAAAAACTTAATTATTAAGTCCCTTATTTTATTTATAAATATAATACCTGCATTACTTTATTTCACGGTTTTATTAATTATATATATAATGTTAAAAAAGCATATATTTTTAAAACTTATTATATTTATAGCAATATCTACGGCTATTTTTATAGAATTTATATATTATTAATTTCTTATAAATTTATTATTATTAGCTATTATTATTATTATATATATATATAGGGTATATATAAGGTTATTTACCTTAATTTCCATTAAGTTATTAAAAGAAAGTTATAAGAAATTTAATAAATTCTTATTATATTTAATATTTTCTATTAAATTATTTATAACTATATAGGCTATAAGTTTTTCTTAAGCGCCTTTTAAAGCTATAAGAGAATTTATATTAGCTAATAAAGCTAAGAGTTGCTCTTATATTTTCTCCCATTTTTCTTAGCTTATATTCTTCCTTAAAAAAGTAGTTTTTTCCTTTTCTTTTCTTTATTTATTTATTTTTTAATTAGCGGGTACTTTATTTAAATAAAGGAAATAGCAATTCTCTTAAGTATAGCCCTTTATTTTATAATTAAGGCATATAATAATCTTTTTCTTATTTTTCTTACCCTTTATATATAAAGCTTTTTTAAATAATTTAAAGAGTTTCCTTTTACTTTTATTTAATAAGTTAAAAAAGAGAAATTTAATTATATAAGTATTTAAATCTTTTTTAAGACTTTAAGTTATATTTTAAATAAAGCTAATATATTTATTATTTAAGCTATAAAGAATTTAGTTAATTATAACTTATTTAAGAAGAATTATATTATTAACCTTTAAATCCTTTAAAAAAAGCTTTAACTTATTAATATATTCTTTTATAATCTTAAAATTATTAAAATTAATATTAAAAAATTCTTTATAAAGTAAATATTAGCTTATAAATTTAAAGAGTTTATAATGGAATTTAAATATATTTTATACTTTTTAAGCATTATTTATATCTTTTATAAATATAATAAGCCCTTGCTTATATATAAGTTTAATATTAATAAGGGCTTTTTTATTTTAAGCTAAAAATAAGCCTTAAAAAGAATTCTTAAAATTATTTTTAATAGCATTTTCTTTTTTAAATTAAGCTTAAATTTTAATATTTTAATATATATAATTTTTTATTTTATTAAGGAATGGAATATTATACTTATTAAGGGATGCTATTTTAAGGTAAATAAATAAAGTATTTATTAAAATAATTAAAATAATAAAGAAAAAAATATAATAAATTCTAAATAAGTTTAATAAGTTAAGGAATAAAGATATAAGTATTAAAGTAATATAATTATAAAGAAAAGAAGAAGGACTTTTAAATAATATATTTTTAAGGTATTATAAATTAAAAATAGTTAAAATGTAGTTAAGTATTTTTAAGGCAGTTTAAGGATTATTATAGTTTTATTAAAATTTACGTTTTTAATGTTAATTTAATGTAGTTTTTAAAATCTAAAGAGATATTCTTATTATTTTTAATAAGGGCTCTTAAATAGTATATAAATTATATAGGTAGGTTGAGTATTAATAAAGAAATAGTTAAGTATTTAAATAAAGGAGGTATGGTTTTTATATATAGGCTCTGGGTTAGGAGATAAAGTTAATTTATAATATTAAATGGGGCGATTTAATTGGTTAAGGGCTTATTAATTAGCTTAATTAGGTAATTAGTTAAAAGGTATATCTTTAAGTGTAGAGCTTATAAGAAGTGGTGGCGATTAGGGGTATCATGTGATGTGCGTTTTCTATATCGGGTTAGCCGTTTTCTGTATTGAGTTAGCGTTGCCGTTTTAGGTAAGCTCCAGGCCTTATAACCTATTAAATAATAACGTTAAATGCTTAGTTTATTAGGCTAGCTAACGTTTATTCAACGGGAGGGAAGGCCCCTATTTATAGTTATTATCCTCCATACAGTGGCAAACATATGGGGAAAAGGATATCCCGTATTAATAATAGCCTAGATATCTAGAATATTCCAACAGAGCCCAGCCTTCCCAGTTTGCCTTCATGATATATTTTCACATGACTTTGACCCTCACCCCGAACGGCCCAACAGAAAGCGTAAAGAAAGTGAGCCCTCTGACACCCCAGGCTGAGAGGAATCCTCATCCAATGGCCTCATTCACGAATAGCTTGCAGTGTGTTCCTTGACTTGTGAATTGCAACACAGCTGCTGGCGATGTCTTATCTCCAGACCTTCAAGACTGGTTACGCATCATCTGATGTCTGAAATACAAAATATATACTTGTATTAAGAAAATGAACCTATTTGATGAATCCATTCAAATACATCAGATGGTGTGTGGAAAAATTACATGTGGGTCTTAAAGTCCAGGACAGCCACGCGAAGACATTGTATGTCAATGTTATGATAGACCTTTCAAAGACGGTCAGATAAATCGGGGAGATCAAAGAGCCTTCAAGGCTTGATAGGCTGACGAAAGTAAATAATTTGCACCTGTGAGAGCGGGAAATTTGAAATCCAGACACAATTGGTTTCGAACACTGCAGTGATACACCTGTGGCCCAGATTGGGGATCTCGTCGTCGTGGGTTTATAAGCTTTGGCTGAACACGGCCCATCAAGCCTGCCAACTAATTGTCTGTGCCTAATGGATAATCAGCGGCAGAGCGCATCTCATATTTGAGGTCGTCTCGATAGCCTCGAGCTCCTCCCCTCTGTCAGTGAGCCGACCACCATCTCACCCATCTGATGAGCCCTCATCGAAGAGCCCCTCGGGCCGTGCGGCTATGGCTGCCAGGTTCGCTGCGGTAGACCGTGCAAACGCTTCACGCCTCGAGATGCCAGAAATGGAGCTGCGTGAAATGGAGCTGCCTTTCAAACTTTGTCACGTATTTTTCTACGGGTCACTCATGGATGCACAGATACTTCAAACTGTGGCGAAGCTAGCGAACCCGCCTCCCATTCGAAACGGTATCGTCAGAGGGTTTAAGATCAAGATGTGGGGCATATATCCAACTGTCGTCCCGGACAAGCGCGGTGTGGTAACAGGAACCGTGTGGCACACGGACGACGCCTCACACCCCCTTCATCTCCAGGAGTACGAGACGAGGGCTTACAAGCTTTGCGGCTGCGAGGTTGAGTTCAAGGAAGGTCACAAGATACTTGCGTCAAAGATATTCTGCTGAGCCGGAGAAGCTGACAGCCCGGAGCTTGAAGAAGGAGTCTTCGACCTCGAACGATATCAAAAACATTTCAAGCCGTCGGTCATATCCTCAAGCCATTCATGATAGTGCATCGAGGGTTTGTTGGGGTTGCTGACTAGAGGATGCGGAATATGGTAAATTCGAGCCGTTGCTGGGTTTGTCTCCGGGCTCTACCAGTCAGCCGAGGAGTAAAGGTGAAGCCTGGCAAAAAGTCTTGTAGACTAATGAACTTCAGTCTTCACACTCTAACGGGGTTCAAGGCGAAGAGACGACTTCAAGCTCCAGGAGCAACTGTGTGTATGTGTAAGATATTGCTAGGTGTGTTCCAGTAAGGTCCAACGACGATCACAGTGTATATCTGAAGGCAGGATGCCTGTGCCCAAACAAATAAGGATCCTCTCCACCGTTGATCCTATGATCCCGATCGCCACCCTCCCTCTTGCCATTCTCCCAGCGGCAGTAAGCCATCTGTGCACAAACAGTGATCAGGCACAATACAAGGGCCCCCAAAGATACCGAATGTCCAAGAGTGTAGTTTGGAGCATCCTTGGCAAGGTATATGAAGGTTGCCGGAAACGCGGCGCAGTTGGCGAGAGCTATCATGAAGCCTACGCCTGTTGCGCGGACGTAGTGGGGTGCGAGGTTGTTCGACAGCCAGCCCTGTGGTAAGAAGAAAGGACAATGTCAGCATTGATAGCCAGCAGAAGAGGGAGGGTTGTTCAGACAAGACGATGGAACTCCTTTGTCCGTCCGTGACTTGGCTACTTACCATTATCATTGCACTGCATGGATACACCCCAACTGCGACGAGAAATGTCCCGCCGTACCGGACCTGGGCACGCTTGGCTACCAGCAGCATAATATACCCTGCTATTGCTAACACATTTCCAGCAGCCATAATCGGCCCCCTAGCCCTGATCCTGTCTGACAGCAGTGATGTTAACAGCACTGTCACGAATGCGGCCAGGTTTGGTGGTACGGTAAACAGCTGCGCGGTCGTGGGGTTGGTGTATCCCAGGCCGGTGATGATGGTGGGTAAGAACAGGGAGAAGCTCTGCATTTGTTTATCAGCATGAACATGTCAGAGGGCTGCCTGGGATTAGGAGGACCAGGCCAAGTGTTGGTTGTGAGGGTCTTACATAGAGCGGTATCAAGAGGAAGAACCAGATCAATGACGAGAACCAAGTCTGCGGAGCTTTGAACGCCATCCTGACCCAATGCCAGTCGAATCTCTCCTCATTTACATCAGCAACACTTGTAGCGCCGTGTGCATCCTCTTTCAGGCGCGCCATGGCGATAGCCCGCTCCCCCTCGGTGAGGAACTTGGCGTCAGCCGGTGTGTGTGGCATGAAGAAGAAACAGATGATCCCAAAGACTGTCGTTATGATGCCCTCGACTAGGTTGGGGCAAAGTATGTAATCAGTATGGTGCGCACAAGTGAACATCGCATATCAAGGAAAGAAGACTCGCCAGAAACTTACTGAAGAAGATCCACGGCCACCGGTTATATCCATTGTACCGAATAGTTGCTAAGCCTGTCGCTAGAAGTCCACCAAATGCGCCAGATAGTGGAGCCGCGCAGTAGAACATTCCCATTCTCCAAAGCATCTCGTGCCGGCGATAGAACATTGCCAGGTAGACAATGATGCCGCCTAGAAGTCCGCCTTCGAAGGCTCCGAGAAAGAAACGCGCGGCGACTAAGCCCCCAAAAGATTTGGTGAAGCCGAGAAAGGTGCTCACGAGCCCCCACGCCGTGATCAAGGCGGGCAAGTAAATGCCAGCCCGGATGCGCTTGATGATCCAGTTGCTGGGGACGTCGACGAGGATGTAGGGGATGTAGAAGACGAGCAGAGCAATGTTGAATTTGGTGCCCGTTGCTATCCCCAGGTCCTGCGTCAGTCCGTCGATCTTCGCATTGCCGACATTGGATCTGTCAATGAAGGCAAGTAGCCTATAAGTAAAGTCAGTCACCCGGAACAGTTTATGCAGCACAAACGTAATATTTTGTAAGAGTCGTACCATATACCGAAAAGAAATGGAATCACATGGAGGTCGAATTTCCGGTTCAGTTTTCTGTGTACAGCCGGGTCGATGTCGACGTGGGTATGTTCTCGCCTCAACTCCTCAACATGCGTCCCTTCGGGTTTGAAACTATCATTCTCTGAGCCAACTTCCGGTGTCGGAGCCTTCTCCGGGTCCATCGTGAGAGGTCTTGCGCGTTGACACGTAGAATGAAGACGTTTTGCAGGTTCGTTGTCACGCGCGAATCAAAACTCTGTACGCAAAGGGCGTTGCATTGAGAAAGGAAATAATGTGGCTAAGGAAGTATTGCCAGAACTTTTTGAGAGGGGAATTATTTGTGACGCAATGACATCTACAGCAACTGGAGTCTGATCTATCGTTGTTTCATGGCGCTGCTCGTCTCCAGTAACGCGCTGCTTGTTGATCATAGGCTTAAACTCCACCATCCCCAACGAGGCTAATGTGTGGGCATCTCTACCACATAACAAACCTACGGCAGTTGTTTGCGGGGAAGCACGGCGGGGAAAGCTCCCCGGGCACATCCTTGATCGAGGGCCGACAGCTTGTGCCTGGTGCTCAGTCAGTTTCCAATGTGCTGGACGTTACTTGGCTTGATCCCCTGTTGAGTGGCTTGAATGAGATCGGAGAACGGCTATCGAGCTGTATAGGACGGTATTCCAAGTGTGAAGAGAAACTATGCGATTTCCAGAGGATCCCTGTCTCAATCTATATTTTTGTCTACATAGTAGCCCCTCTTCGCCTCGAACAAGGGCATTCAGAACAACAGCCAGTCATGGGACTCTAACAAAGCCATCTGGTCCTCCGTCTATGCATAACACTTCAAGATTCAAATATGCTTTGCAGCTCACCTGATATTGTACCTAGATAGGCACACTCTCACATTCCCGGCTAATTGTGTTGCAGGCCAGCGTTCGTCGTTCTCAGAATCTATGCGCAGTTGTACGATCGTGGTTTAGGAGGAGAATAAGAGAGACTTGTGCGTTATTTTTCAATCTATAGCGACTGGACCATGCTTTGGTGTCTTCACCGATATCAATGATCCCTGTTGTAGCAGAGGAAAGCAGGTTCGGGTATTAAGGTAGAAGATTCCACCTTGAGATAACGATCTGATTTTGCTGGTGCATCAACGTAGGAAGGGCACAAGCAGATGGTTATAAATCAAGCAGTAATGGTGTATACCAGAGAGGAGAGGGGAAAACAAGTACGCTCGCCTTGTTGTGCGCCCAAGACCTACATCTGTCTGTATCTTGCATGGGGAAACATCTCGCTGAGTAATTTGTCCTCCGACGTCCAGTCGTCGTCGTCGTCAGAATCAAAATCCGAACACTGGGAACTTGACGTGGTCCACCCATCTGGACTTTGGGGCCAATCCGAGTCTTTCGAATCCAGCTGCATGACCGGCGCAGGGTCGTCTTCTGGGAGATAATCTCCCTCAGACTCGCTCTCTGTTGCGTCCTTGCAGTCAAACATGTCCAAAGGTGGCAGAGAAATGGGCGACTTGCCTCCACTGGCACTGGAATAGGCCGCCATTTTCTCTCGCATCCACAGGACTTCGGGCGAGTCGTCTTTTGTCTTCCTCAACCCCGTTGGTGAATTGGTCTCTGATTTGCCTCTAGCATTGACATGCTGCCGTATTGGCTTGACCATAGCCACGCCAGATGTACGGATCGCCATCGGATACTTGGAGACCTTGCTTTTCTCGTCGGCGCTCCACTTGTCGACTGGCTCAAATTCATCGCTCAAAAACAAAATTTCCCTGATCTCTGTCGAGTCGGCGCGATACAGCGCCTCGATGTTATATCTGATATTACTTGCCTTGGTTTCTCCGAAGAATACCTCATACTCTGGCAGACCATCCTTCAGAAACCGGGAAAGTCCCTCACCGGCGACATCTGCGTATGTGAAAGTTCCGTCGCGTACGCCGTTTGCGAAATGGCGCCCCCTTGGTGAGATGGGTGGGAGAGACTTCAATTTGGCGAGTCGACGGATGACTTCAATGTCTCCAACAGGTTCCTCCTTCCTTTTCTTCCTTGCTGGAGACTTCTTAGGCTTGGAGGGCTTAGGCTCGCGGGGTACAGTCGGGACTTTCAAAGGTGACACGCCTTCGAGAAGTTTTCGGACGCGTGAGGAAACTCGAGCATTGCTCAGGGCGGGAGAGTCATCAGATCTTGGTTCTTTCGGGTTGAAACAAGAGGATGAGGTGCTATTTCGCAAATGGTATGACATGATTCTGTCAGGTTTGGCGAGATATGACGAGGTGTTTGAAGAGCATCAACGGACAACAGGCCTGAAATGAGGCGGTGGGCGGTGGTTATGCTTCACAGAGAAGCCACTTTGGAAGAATATGCCCGAGAATAGCACAACTACAATGAGAAACCGCCGTTGTGTCTCGTATTCGCCTAGTATCTCTGCTATTACTTGCCACAATGCCCTGTCCGAATGCTTTGACCCGAACGTCTCAAACCGTTGTTTGCTCATTTTATTACCGTGTCTTTGTCTGTCTGAGCCACAAATAGACAAAGACCACAGCTGGAAGTTGGGAACTGGACTGAAAGGCCGGGACCAAATATGGCACTTTTGCACGGAATAGAAGAAAGAGGATAGAGACCAATTACAACGGCGCCTAAAAGAAACCTTACTGGGTGAAACACCTGTGACGACTGAACGGTGGAGTCGAAACAGAGACACTGAATCTCTGGGCCAAAGAGGCTAACTTCTGCACCCGGAGCATGACTGCCTCTGGACGACATGGGCATCGAAAAGAACCCATCATGATCTCATCCGCCGAGTCTGGCAAAGCCGCAAGGGCTCACAATATCAGACAATAGAACTTCGGAAGGTGGATCGATCTCACGCAGACTCGGATGCCCATGCGGATGCTCTTGTATCATGTGGCAACTTTCGGGTCAATGTTCTCTTCAGAAATGCCCTGCCCATCATGTCGAACATGCTGGCCCCAAGAGAAATGACCCGGCGCCAGAGCAAACTGCTCACATGGCCCAGCCACACAACAGCCGTAGCGTATTGGCTGCATGGTCTGTCTTATACGGAGTAATTTGGCAGAGACTGGTTTAATCAAGTGGACACGCGACCACGCTCGGCTTCTATCCGACGAGGCTGTTGCCCGGCTGGCAAAGTCATCGTCTCCTCTCTCATCGACAGAGACGTAGCTGCACCCGACGCTTAATGTGCAGGCCTCATGAGTATGCTTATTTCGGCTCAAAGCTGGCCACTGATTCGAGGCCAGATCTACATCGGCAGAATATTAGCTGGGCGCTGAGATTGACGGCCAAAGATGAAAAAACAAAACACATGAAAGAGTTGTAGCCGGCCGACCACGACGTCGCGAGGGAAGATATGCCACGGAACTGCGACGAACTTTTCCGTCGGTCAGGCAGTCAATCTGAAACCTGGTGTGGGATGGCACTCTGTTGCAGGTAACCTTCATCTGATGATTGACTCCAAACTATGCCTGATTGACCGCTGATCAGCCCTGGAGCCCTGGGAACAGTCCCACGGGGGCGGGCGTGGATGGGCGGGCTGGACGGGCTGGTATCACATCGCCTTATGGGATGCACGACAGCGAGGCCCGCAGGGAGAAGGCTGCCGGCACAGCGGCAGAAGACCCTAGATCCTGTGCGGAAATGCGCCAAGACCCAGATAGCGGCGCGGAGTGCCGAAAACAAGACTCTGGTGTGTTATTGTGCGCTAGGTTTTGGGAGGTGGAGGGAGGGGTGGTTTTGCCCTTCTGCCTTTTCAGCCCACTCGGGGCGGACGCGGTCCAGAACCTCTGGCTGGGGGCGGCCCAGTGAGCCGCAAACCTCAAACTTTAATGATATTCGCAGCGGCATAGACGGGAGTGGCGATGTCGATCTTGTCTGACACAAGTGCGACACAGACACGCTGCAGCCTTTCTGCCGCTGGGAGCCGGGAGACAAATTGGCGCTGTGCTGGGCTGGGCAGGTAATTTAGCTGATGGGGTGATAAGGCGTGACGAGACAACCCGTACGGCCGCACATTAAAGTAGGCGGCAAATACATGATCGTGGGCTTTCTAGAATGTTGTGACTGCTACCAACCCAAACCCAAACTGCTGTCCCTGGATCTCCCACATCCCCCCACATTTGAGCTGGTGTGCAGTGGGAGAAGCAAGACCAAGGCCGTGTGCCCCCTGTTGTTCAGACACAAGGCCCCAATCGGGGGATTTGGCACCACGCGGCTTGCTTTTAGGCTGCTTGGTGGCGGGCTTGAAAAGGTTGGTCGAGGCATGTCAGATGGGGCCAGGATGGGGCGGAAGGGCTGCAGAAGCCTACCCGACGCTGGGGGGAGCAGTAGGAGATGCCCATCCAAGTCACAGTGAGCCGCATCCGCGAGTGGCAGTCGGAAGATTCCGGACAAAGATCCGGGACAGTGCCTCTGCAGGCTACTGGTTTGTGTGTGTGAGAGAGAGTGTGTGTCGTGGATGCCGGCTCAATGAGGGCACGAGGGCGAGGGCGAGGGCGAGGGCGAGGGCAAGGGCAAGCGAGGACAAGGACTCGGATGGGACGAACAACGAAGATGCGCATTGGAGATCGGGAATTTTGACCCGGCGGGTGGGACCGTGGGGAGACAGCTGCATGGACTTTAGCCGCTATTCTCCCGGACCAAGCTCTTGAGCCTGCAGGCCTGCCAGGGCGGCATGGCGGCCTGGAGGCGTGGCAGGCTTGTCAAGTGTCTGAAGTGCTGAAGATCCGACGGCTCTCTCCGACAGTGGGACGGGGGCCGTCTGGACCGCTGCTTTCTCCCCAGTGCCCACCTGCCCACTCGATCGATCCCTGCCACAAGTCGGCTGACCCTGGCAGCATCTGCTCGTTTTTCTCGGTGTTGGCTGCTTGCGTATTCAAGTTGCATTCCATTGCATGGCCGACACTCCCTGCCAGGGTCAACAACCAGCGGGCACCCCGGGACCAAAGATGATGCAGCTTGTCGACAGATTCAAACCCACTGTCGACTGCGCATGGCGCATGTGTAGCAATATCGAGCCCGGGACCGGATTGGAGGAACTCAATCTCTGGCATGTTTTTCCATGAATTCTGCCGGCGCAGACTATCAGTCCCGAGGGGACGAACCACAGCAACGGCGCACGGGAAGCCCGCCTCCGTATGTTTGGGATATCTGGGACCGAGCCTGACTGATCAGTCGGTGCGAGTGGTGGCAGCACAAAGTACGGAGCACACGCGTATCCAGCACCAGCGACGGGGGCAGGCAGGCTGGACAATGATCCGACGAGTGGCATGTTCCACACTCTACACGGTATTATTGCAATAAGTATCGATGTACATGTGATCTGGGATTAGATTGCTCGTTTGACAGCAGAACCAGGACCCACTGCATCTTGGTTGCAACGGACACACGGTAACAGTCCCAGTTGCCAGGGCCTCTCAGCAAACAAAGCCCGGCTGAGAAGGGACAAGCGTCGCATGTTCGACTTACAGCACGCCGACCAATAGCATCCGACCCAGCGAAGCCACCCTTCCCCCCCCCCCCCCCACACGCTTGCGTCGGGCCTATGGGAAGACGGAGCGAGAAAGCCAAGCCGACTCTTGGGCTCATGCTGCCCCGGTCCAACGGGCTGGCGGGCCGTAGGGTGGTGGGGCTAAAGAGCTGTGGTGGCCCCTGAAACCACATGTCGGGCCCGTCAAACCGTCGTCCTATGTTTCCCTTCTCGCAGCCGGCACGACGGCATCGTGGCATCTGGTCCCCGGGCCTGAAAGTGTCCTGCACACATTGGCCTGTCATGCCTGGCAAAGTAGCTTGTGATAGGGACGGTGCCTGTCCGTTGCCCTGCGGATGCGCGTCCCGGGTCGCGGCCGGATATCAGGGGCAACCTGTCTGGCTGTGAGGGCCCCCTTATCCGCCATGTATGTAGTCGTCCGTCCTTTGGGCCCCTCCAGATCGGTGATGTGATCTTGGATAAGATGCAGGCCGCATCATGACAGGTCCCACTCCTGATGCTGTTGGAACGCTTAAATAGAGGCGATGCCCTCCGTGCCGTGAGATCATCGTCAGCTCGTGATGGTTGATGGTCTTTTACCCCCACGTCGGAACATCCACCTGGTCGGAGCCAACAAGCAGAAGCAACCCTTGAAGCACCGGGCCCTGGCTGCATCCGGGACAGAGCCCCCCATCGCACAGCATTTTTGTCTCGTCTGTCTTGTCACCTTGAGGCGGCTCATCACAGACCATCCAGCAAAACGGCCCAATCGACTTCCAACTCGGGGGCACATCGTTGACCCCATGATCAACACCAGCAAGGACCCCAACAGCACACCACGGCCTCCCTTCCAGGCACCGTCATCACAATCCAGGAGCATCACGCAACGATCACGACTGGCCCGATTAGGAAATCCACGAGACACCGGCGGCCCAGCTCCGAAGCGTCTAACCTGGCCCGACCACGGAGACAGGAGCACAAGTCTCGGCACTTTACGCAGGACGCGGACAACTGGGGCCAATCTCCCATTTCCTCTGGCCTCGGCCCCGTGTTGCAGCAGACATCCTGGCACCCACAATCACTCCGCCGGGATCGAGTTGCCAATTCTGGCAGCCCCGTGGAGTGACAAAGTCACGAGGGGGTTAGCAGGCCGGACCCAGCGACAGCCCCGGATTCTCTACCCCGCGTTATCTCTGCTGCCGGTGTAGTAGTATTACTGTACTATTGTTTCAAGGACGGAAGAGGCATTCTCGTCGCACAGGGACGGTCCCAAAGAAGCAGACGCCCAAGCAGGAGCAAACCAGGGAGCAGAAGCAGATCTTCAAGTTGGTGGCGCACAATTCCGGGTGGAGAGGCCAAGTATCTGGGCCTGAGCCTGAGGTGAAGAACCCCGAGGAAAAGGGATCTTCTTCTGCCCGCTTCATTTTCTTGTGCTGAGGCAGCCAGAGAAGCAAGTCTAAGAGGGCTCCGGTGGATCAAACAGGAGGGGAAGGAATTATATCTCGAGGAGGTGTGGAGCACCATCCCTCGGCAGCAAGCAGCAGCAGGAGCAGCAGCAGCAGCAAGCAGCAGCAAGCAGCAGCAGCAACAGCGGCAAGCATCAACGGCCGGCTGTCTGTCTGCAACCAACTCACGCGACGCAACGTAGCCAGCCCCGGAGGACTTATTAGCTACTGACTGCTGTGGATTGTTGTGGATTGTTGTGTGGACTGACTGACGGACGAGACAGGCTGCAAGCAAGGAGCAGCAAGCAGCAAGCCACACAAGCCCAGCGGCTGCTCCAACTCCAGCTCCGGGCTCCAGCTCCGTCCGGCCCCATCTGCACGCCAGCCCCGTTCCCCAGCTTTGCTTATTAGGTCCCTGGTTTCCCCAAAAAAAGTATTCCCCGACTGCTATTCCACGATGCATGTCACTCATTTTGCTGCACAGGCAGCCGACACAGCTGGAGGTGCTTGCTCAGGCCCGAGTCCAGGCACGACAGCAACGGCAGCATCGATTCCCGGAACAGGTCAGCCAACACATGCTGCAGCACATGCACATGTACTCTCAGCCGGCACCAGCTCCTCCTCGTCCTCGTCTACTCCATCACCAGGCGGCCGGACAACGCGCATCACCACGACCGTGAGGATATCCGGGCCCAGGCCAAGGGCTCCCATTCGCAGGAGCAGCCGCAGTAGTGGTAATACCACAACCGTCTTCAGCACCAAGAACCTGACGGCTGCCGTCAAGATGGTCGCTGCCAAGACCGCCCCCTCGGAAGCCGGGCCAAAACCCACCGTCTCAGTCTCGTCCAACGCCCCCTCAGCATCCGGCACGCCTCCTCCCGGGACAAACCACCACAAATCGCACTCGCAGCACCGCGTTTCGAAGCCCTCAGGCAGCATCGGCAGCAGGAAGGCCTTTGCGAGAGTCGCCAGCATGGAGCCACCCGTGCAGTCCTTTTACGGCGCCGAGCCCATCCCCCTGCCCAACCGCTTCGCCAACATCAAGCGCAGGCTCATCCAGGGCAAGGAGCAGGCGATCGAGGCCTCGTGGCGCCGTCTCCTGGCCGCCCTGCGCGACGAGATCGCCCACATCCAGTCGCGCGGCAACGATCTGATCCCCATCATCGACTTTGCCGACATCGACAACGCGGCCAGCGTCACCTCGTTCGAGCGCGACCTCAAGCGGTACGGCGTCGCCGTCATCAGGGGCGTCGTCAGCCAGACGCAGACCGAGAACTGGATCCAGCAGACCAGGGACTACATCACCCACAACAGGGACCACATCAAGCCCACCATCCCCCAGGATCCTACCTGCTTCGATCTCTTCTGGACCCCGGCCCAGTGCGCCATCCGAGCCCACCCGTCCGTCCTGCGCGTGCAGCAGTGGTCCATGACCTTCTGGGAGACCAAGGGCATCGATGCAGACGTCTCGCGCATAGCCACCCGCTTCCCCATCTCCTACGCCGACCGTCTCCGGATCCACGACGGCACCATCATGGGCTCCAACGCCGCCCTGCCCCAGGTCAACGGCAACTCGGCCGCCGACAGCCTCACTGCCAGTTCCGCCTCGACCCTCATCGCCCAGGTTGACAACGGTAGCCTCGAGCGGTGGGAGCCGGATGGCTACGGTCGTGGTGGCGCCTACGACGCCGTCTTCCGCGGCGACTGGGAGTCTCTCGACCCCTGGGACCCCTCTGGTCGCATCAACGTCACCCAGGACTTGTACAACGGTGCTGGCGTATGCTCCATCTTCCGCATGTTCCAGGGCATCCTCGCCCTCACGTCCGGCGAGCCCGCCAGCATCCGAGTCCTGCCCTCTCCCAAGCTCGTCATGGCCTACCTGCTGCTCAGGCCCTTCTTCAGCGCCAAGACGAAACCGCCAACCAGCGGCTGCGAAGAGGAGGGCTCCTCACCCGAGGTGATGGCCGAGTGGGACGCCTTCCTGGACGCAGACAACTGGACTCTCGACAGCGAGCAGACCACGATCATCCACGGCGCCGTCCCGGGCCACGCCCAGCGCATCACCGAGCTGTGGCACCCGCACCTTCGTCTCCGCCGGTCCCTCGTCGAGATCCCCACCCTGCAGGCTGGCGACTACGTCATCTGGCACTGCGACGAGGCATACAGCATCATGACCACCGCAGCCTCAAAACCAGGCACGCCCGGGCCAGAGACACCGGCCCCGTCGATGCTGGTGTACACGCCCGCCTGCCCGCTCACCCAGACCAACGCACTCTTCCTCGCGCGGCAGCGCAAGGCCTTCCTGCTGGGACAGCCTGGGCCCGACTTCGACACCGCGGGGAGCGGCTCGGTGGGCAGCGAGGCGCCGCACGAGGGGCGGCCGGGGAAGGAGGAAATCGCCGCCATCGGCGGGGACCGCGGGCTGAGGGCCATGGGACTAGCGCCGTGGGAGCTGTCCAGCGACGGGTCCAAGGTCATGACCCGGCCCGGCACGCGGGCCGTCACGCCGGAGCCGTCCGAGGCCGCGGCGGCGGAGGAGGGAGGAGCACGACGAGGAGAGGCGGACAAGATGGAGCTCGACGGCAGCAGCGCGGGCGCCATCGCCGAGAAGAAGCGCAGCACCGAGGGCGAGGCCGAGGTGGTCCGGCTGGCGAACATCATCCTGTTCCCGGACCGGTACGACTTCTACATACCGACCGAGAAGGCCGGAAATGCCAAGGACAGGATTAATGGGAAGGCGCAGGCAGAGCAAATGGCGGCCACGCGGCAACTGATTTCGAGGATATTGACGTGAGAGTCGAGAGAGAAGGGTGAGGGAGGAAGTAATAGAGGATGGCCCCTCCGAGACGACAAGATTGGCTCAGCCCGACATGTCAGTACTCAGATGGAAGCGATTTGGGGGTCTCGCATGCATATTAGACGGCAGACCCGCCCATCTGGACAGCGTCCAGCGCCGGTAGAGAAGGTCGGCAGGAGGAAAAGGTCCCTGCTGAGTCCTACGCCAGGATAATGCTACGAGGACGCGAGGATAGAGGAGGCCGCGAGGAGGCTGTGAGGAGGGCATAGGCCCATCGTGATCCACGACGAGATCATTTATGGGTATACAGGGGAAGGGGCGGGTAACAACCACCCCCTCTGCATTGGACGGACTTTGGGAATTGGTGGCGTTTTCAGGGGCTTCAAGGGGGGTTCCTACTACTGGACAATCGGTACAATGCGTGCTCTCCTGTCGATAACATCTTATCCAGGAAGCACTGCGCGCGAGCATTCTTTAGTGCATGGCAATCAGCCTCAAGAGTAAGAGCTCAATGATCAGTGCTGCTCGAGTTATATATCTACATCCTGTCTCCGTCGTTTCTGCCCCGGTAAGTGACAGGATACGCCCCAAGGTCTCCGGATGGAGTGCCAGCGGATGAATCGACTACTCATAAGCTTACCATCTGCTCGGAGGCATATTGAGGTGGGCAATCGAAGCAGTATCAACCTGCAGACGCGGCGAGAGGTCTGATAAGAGCAAAAAGCGCGTCCACTCGCGACCCAGTGGGCAGTAATGGAAGCGAACGACGCCTGTGAGCTTGGTTTCCCGAGAGCCCTTGGATCCAAAGCCAATCATTCGTCGGTGGCAGTCCACCTTCCTGCACACAGTTGCCTGCGGTCGGTCTTCAGGTCGCGATCGGGAGCTAGCCGCCTGCCATGTCCCGGGGTTATTACCTATGCAGTCTGGGTCGTGGGCGGAAAACGCTGGCGCCTGCGTAGATCTAACTACTGCATGTCAGATGGATCTCAATGCTGAAGCCTAGAATACCACCCCCGGGGCTCACACGCTCTTGTAGGAGATAGGACGCGCCGTGGCAACATGTGTCCGGAAGCTGACAACCCGCGCTAGGCCACCAACTCATGTCACCCATTGGCCGCTATTTCGGGCTTCCATGTTTGGCACTACAAACTGCAGCCTCTGTGATGCAACGCTGCTCAGCCTCCCACCATGGATTGGCTTCGGGTGGCCCAAGCCATCGGGAGCGGATTTAAAAAGAACAAAGTGAAATCGTGCGGTGTGCGCGTGGGAGCCCAAGTTACATATCTAGTCGAGGACAGCCTGCATCTCCTGTTTGTTTTCAACCCTGCGTATTTTGTAGTCTCGTCTCCTAGAGAGGGTGTGATGAATGAGACCTAGACCATGCCTCCACGCCACGAGTCTTTCTTCGAGTACGGACTCACCCGTCCGTATCCGTTCCGATGGTTCACATGGGCTGCGGTTATAGGGTGCATATGTGCTACCATTTTGTTCACAGTAATTAATATCGGGACGAGTGGTTATACCCTCGAGTAAGCACCCCCTTCGATGCTTTGCCTTTCTAAGCTTTCTGTTGCTAACAGACAAAAGGGCCGTCTACACTACGAATCCGAACGGGACTGCCGGGACTGCCGAGCACAAACTCTGGTTCCAGAAGGCGCCATTCTCATGGCTGAGCAACCTCGAAGCATCGTGTCAGTCTCAAGCATTGATGTTGGGCTCGAGCTACATGACGACGCACATGGGCTTCTCCTATACCTTGATATCCCTTTCCCATCAAGACAAGAACAACAAGACCACACAGGCACCAGGTGCACCGTACCTCAACAGCACGCTGCAGGATTGCGAGGTGGGGACGATACAGGTCTATCCTGCCAGGAAGGACACGTCTGTGACGTCTGGTAACTCCTGGACGTGGGGCGACACCAACGCTGCGGTAAGTGGTCCTATCCGGCTGATGATGTTGCCCCGAAATATCGTGACTAAAGGGCTTTCTGCAGGCCAACGTGTCTTGTGTCATCCCTAGTCCTACCTCGCCAGTGACAGCCTCATTCCAGGTTCAGTTTCAACAGTCCTCCGGCATTGTCAGGAACTTCCTGAGTCTTGACAATCGCACTGATTCCAGCCAGTGGTGGGGATCCATACTATTGTAAGCATATTGTGCAATGAAGGATCAATGCGGCATTTGGTTTATACTAATTTGTACGATTTAGAGATCGCACGTGGTATTCGCTCGCAGAGTTTTTGGGCACAGAATACGTACCAGGAAACGATGATCAGCCAGACATACGATACGACAGCGGGGATTTCAGTAAGCACCGGATTCTGATTTTGTCTTCCTGGAGAAACCAACGGCTGACTGACCGTGACACCTCAGCTTTATTCCACAACAGCACTAGCGCCTCAAATGTCAGCTCCAAGGACTTCTTCTACGCGACCGGAAAGTTCTACGCCGAAGACTCCCTGATCTACATGGTAGTCAACGAGAAGAACTGGGACCCGATTCCACTATCCGAAATGAACGACACAGGTCTTGCCTCCGCGATAGATGGCTTCGCAAAGGCCTTTTACTCGTCTATTCTGCTTGACCTGGGCAGCGCCAGCCCGCTAACAGATGGCAATTCTATTACGTATTTGCTATCCCAAAGGAACGTTTCCGTCCTTGGTGTGTCGAATAAAAAAGCCGTGGATACTTTCAAAGATGAGATGGCACCTTTGAATTCAACCGCGGCGCAGCTATCCCTACAGTATGTGTGCTCCGTCCCGAAGCAAAAGGAAAGATTTTCGATGGTGGTATCCATTTTCATCGCCGATATTGTGCTGTTATCAGCATTCTGGCAGTGTCTGAACTGGGCAGCCACGAAGTGGCTGAGTGCCCAGACTCCGAACTGGAACTACTGCCCGGGGTGTGAGAGGCACCCCGAAAGCTGGAAGTTCGTGTCAACTCCAAGGACAGATGACGAATCTGTGCAGCTTGTGCTGCCAAAACCAAGTGATAATAGGTCGGATAACTGGTGAGATACTGGGCTGCCACATGATAGACAAGCCCTGGATGGGCACCTTAATCAAACAATATCGAGATGTCCATGGCGCACTTGTGTCAAAGGGATGACCGTGATGTGAAAAGTGCCACTCAAGCTCATTCCAAAGACAAGTCGGGCCCCATTGATTGGGGAATAGGGAGACAGGAGTTGGAAACAAACTGCATGATTTCCATGCATTGGCGTATTTAGTATGTTCGAGCTCAAGCATGTTATGTAGACCGAGTGGCTCCGGGCCTTCTGAGCATTCCGCTTTGGAAACTTGCCAGCTCCATGCGGCGTGCCCGGTCCTTTCAAAAATACCGTACCTAAAGTTCGACTCGTGATGCTGGTCGACACATTTGGCAAATCCCGAAAAAGACAATGTTCTAGCCTCGCGATTTAATACAGTACATCCAAATTGCCCCAGGGCCGGCTGACTCGAACACTGGGTATAAGAGGCTCCTACAAAAGCGAAAACTAACCATCTGTTCATCCGAACATGCCATCCCATGCCTTGTCGAAACGTGGGAAAAAGGTGACGTTACTCCCGAAGATCAATCCGCCTCGCTCGGCAGCACAACGTCGAAGTTAGGTGAGAATGAAGGGGAAGTCGCACCAAAAGCTCAGGCCAGAGGGACGAGGACAGTAACAGAAACTACGACAGTCAGAGGCAAACATTGCAGTGGGTAAACACAATCTACCCTTCACTTTTCTCGTGCCCATTACTATGTACGCAGTCATCAGCAGTGAATGTGACAAAGACTATGATAGCAGCCCCCCATCTTTTGCTGACTGGTGGGCCTCATCTTAATCAAATAACACAACTGATCCATTTTCAGGTAATCCACCTCAATGTCGACTCTTCTCTTGTCTCTCATATCCGGCTTGTTGGTTGTGTCAGCACAACTGACGGGCAACGGAGTGTCTGTTCTACTCAACGACGTCAACTACTTCAACTCTCCATTCGCCGCAGAGACCATCTCGGTGGAATCGTCTGCCTTGTCCTCTGCAAAGACTATTTACGGATTTGCGCCAGTCACAGTCGTACAGAATACGATCGATGAGGCATTACTGCCCGAGCTAGAGCTTTTTGCAAATTGGACATCTACCGACGACGTTTTTCAGGACGGGTTCTCCACCGTCGTCCTGCTCCCCAGTCAAGCGAAAATATCAAATGCTAGCAGATCGGAAGCGGACGGTGCTGCGTCTCTAATTCTGCAACTTGACTCCCCAAATGTTCCTTCCGGCCCCTACTTTCTGGAGACGGCGACTGGCGCCCTCCATCAAGCATATCGTCTTTACAATGACTTCTCAGGAGCCTTTACCGAATCACTCCTACAAACCCCGGATGGAACAATTTTGCCCCTCTCAGCCCATGTAGCCTTGTCAGCTACTGCCACCATCGGTGTTCCTTCAAGACTGTACTACACCAGAACAGCCGAAAAGCCCCTGGCTGGAGTACGTATCGGTGTCAAAGATGTATACCATCTCGCTGGCGTGAAGTCTTCGTTCGGAAGCCATGCATGGTACGACCTCTATCCAGCGAGTACCACCACTGGAACAGCAGTCCAGCGCCTCATTGACGCCGGCGCGCAAATTGTTGGACTGTAGAAAGCCAGCCAGTTTGCCAACGGGGAGACGGCGACAGCAGAGTGGGTCGACTACCACTCGCCATTCAATGCACGCGGTGATGGCTATCAGGACTCGTCCTCGTCTTCTGCGGGCGCAGGGTCGAGTATTGCCAGCTACGAGTGGTTGGACCTGGCCCCGAGCACCGACACTGGCGGGAGCATTCGAGATCCTGCTGGCGTTTCCGGGGTCTTTGGCAACAGGCCTTCGCACAGGCTTGTGCTATTGGACCACGTCATGCCTCTGTCGACACGGCTCGATACAGCGGGCTTTGAAACGAGGGACCCATATCTGTGGGATGAAGCTCAGAAGGTGCTATACGGGGACAACTACACTTCTTTTGTCGGAAACGAAGCGGTCAAGTATCCAACGAAGATCTACACGATGGAGTTTTACGACGCCAATTCGAGCACCGGCGACGCAATTCTGGTGGGTTTTGCCGAGAAGCTGGCTAGACTTGTGGGAGGCACCGTCACAGCGCTTGACCTTGAGGCGGCGTGGGAGGAATCCATTCCCTCTGAAGCTGGAGGGCAGGGTGTGATGGAGTTCATGAACCTCACATACCCAACGCTGATCGGAAAGGAGCAAGCGGCGCTCGTCTGAGACCCTTTCTACGCAGATTACGCTGGTAAGTAACCCGCACGGTGCATGCCCTCCTTATTATTAGAAGGACAGCCGTTGACGTCGACTTGGAATCGTTGAATGGCACCGCACCGTCGTCCTCGGTCGCCTGGACATGTCGCAAGCTGACAACAAAATGGCTGCACCCGATTCGATCACCTGGGGCTTTGACCAGGCAAGCCAGATGGGAAGCAAAAACTCATCATCCTCAACTATTGTCAGAAACGTGCGCGAGATTCTGAGGGAGCCCAAGCAACTCAAGACCATACAACACATTGCCCTGCGCGGCGTACCACAAATAAAGTACCTGGAAAGCAGCTTCTTCGAAAACGACCTCGCGCCACACGAGACAGAAGCATTGAAGAAATGGGTTTCCGAGGTGCAAATCCCGGAAAGCAACCTCGCCCTTACACCACAAAACGAAGACGAATGCAACTCACCATCAGTGACCCGCGCCGTCGTCGCCGTGCTCTCGCGTCTCTCTGATCTCAAGACTCTCGAGGTCCACACCTTCGACCGAACCGCCGGGGACGAGGAAGACCAGCTGCACCCCGTGGGGCGACCCGTTCATGGCGCGCCTACTGCACCTCATCGGCTCGTCGCCACAGGGCTTCGGGGGCGCGCTGGAGACGGCAAGGATACTGGTTCCCCGCCCCGAGGACGACCCTGAGGACGAGATGGACTACTACGTCTACCCCTCGTCCCTCCTGCCCCTGTTCGGCCTGCCGAGAGTCCGGCGCATCGAGGCCCACCGCGTCGACGACGGCGGCGCGTCCATCCCGGCGGCGACCCTGGGTGTCACCTGCCCGACGCTGAGGGAGCTGCGCCTGTTTCGGCGCCAGCTCACGGAGGAGACCCTCGGCCTTGTGTTGGGGGCTGCCCCCAACCTCACGACGCTCCACTGCGACCTCGTCCTGGACGCAGAGCATGTGAGCGGCTGGTTTGATCTTGGCAAGGTCCGGGCCTCCCTTGATGGCCTTAAGGGCTCGCTCGAGGACTTGTCCCTCGCGTTGAACCCCTGGTCGTCCACTGCCATCGACTGCGGCGAGAAGGGCCCGTGGGGTATCCGCGGATCGCTGGGGCCGCTCAAGGACTTCGACCGCCTGACGCGGCTGTCTGTGTCACTGCCTGTCTTGCTCGGGTGGCACGTCCAAGGCTCGGGCAAGCTCGCTGACGTGTTGCCAGCCGGCATCCGGTCCTTGACAATCACGAATGAAATGTTCTTCTGGTGGCACTATGAATGGGATGGTGTTGATTGGGATAAGGAATGTGGTGAATACGGCATTCCGCGATGGCGATGGATCGAGGAAAAGATTATGGAGTACCTGGCAGGCCGGCCGGGGAGTCTTGAAGAGTTGGTCCTGGACATTTCAACTGCTGCTGAGGCAGAAAGAGGTGCGCAGCTTAGAGATACTCTGGTGTCAAAGGGCCAAGACGTAGGGGTCAAAGTAGCTGTCCATTTGAAGAAATCATCATGAAGGGATGAATACACATCATCCGATCTCTTCCCAGTGCTATGAGGGCGCAGTTACTGCAGCGGTGCCGTACTTTCCCCACCCCAGGGTAGCTGAGCCCTGCATCCACCGTGGTTGCATTTTTCCTTGCGACATGGATATGCAGCCTGTTGGTTCACTACTGCGCCGCAGGTGAGGGACCTGTGGAGACACCGCCTCCCAACACCAACAACAGACTCCAGACCTGCCCTTGGCCTTGGCCGCCATGTTCCTAAATTTAGGAGTTACTTCGTAGAGGATACCATCGCTTCGGCCTCAAGGGCTGGTCGTGCTCTGTGCGCAGGCCTTAACGTGACATCTAGCCTCCAGGCCACCCAACTATAAGTGCTCCTGAAGCAGTCCTCCGGGAAACATCCGTCCCCTCCTTGGTTCATTTACTCAGATATTGCGGATCAAGAATCGAGGAGATTTTATTCCCTGAAACTATGATTTTTACAACAGAACTTGCCTTGTTGGGCACACTCACCGCTCTACTTGGAATGGTTTCTCATCTGGCAATCTTCACTCGAATAGAATGGCACATGCTTGCACCCCTACTACTTTGGGTCTACTCAGCCCTTGCGTTCCTTTTCTTTTTACTCATAAGCTCTTTCGAGACAGACCTAAGGACTTGTCTTGAACATCTTTTTGTCCTTGTCATATCATACTGCATGGGGCTATTTACTAGCGTCACTATTGTCGAGAGCCTACGTCGAAAACACCAACCCATCATTCAGAGTGGACCGGAAGAAACCGCCATTGATCTTTCTATTCCAGCCGCACTTAAATGACCCTCAAATTCCTCCCAGAAGGCGGTACGCAAAGACACAACATACTGGAGCGCAGGGCCTCGACCGCCAAGTCCCGTCATGAAAGAATTGGGATGTACTTAGGTTGTGGGCCGCTACATAAGATGTGCGCAAGAGACAAGGGTCATTAACGCTAGCCTGTACGAATCTGAAGGCTACATTCATTTTAATTCTGTACTCCTTTCTATCCAGGCTAGATCGGGGCCTATCGATTGTGCGAAAGCCTGGGTCAGAGGGTCACCAGCAGCGAATCGGTCGACCAACTCTCTGGAAGGAAATAGAAGACAATCAATCAATGTAATGAACAATTTCCAGCATTACACCAGCATGTAATTAATATAAATTCGTGAGCTTGTGAGTATCCCTATCTTCTCCATGTAGCCTTCAAGATGTGTAATTTCAACCCATGTAGCTAGTGTCCGCCTTTCTCAGACGCGTAGGGAGTGAGAACTGAGGCACTAGATCCTGGTGGCCGAACTGCTGTCAGAAAAGTCTTCGCCACAAAGAGAGAGTTTGCATGTGGTGCGAAAAGGAAATTAATATTCAAGGAGGCTTTTTTGTCGCCAGCCTACATCTATCTCACGCTATACATGCCCAAGGCTACCGCCCTTAGCACGGGCATCCATCACCACCACCACAAGCATTACAATCAGAATGGTAGTTAAAGGTACACCCAAAAATCCCGAACCCCTTCGCACTACCCAAACAGTTCAAGCACTGCAGCGCAGCCGCCTGGCAGTTCGTGTTCACCCCAAGCATGGAAGCCGGCAGGTCCGGCCTCTGCGCGGTGGTCGGGACGTCGCAGCCCGAGGCCCCACTGGGCGCGATCGCCGCGGCCTTGATGGACGCGGCGTTGTCCTCGACCATGCGCCAGAGCACCAGGTTGGCGATGACGGCGTGGCCGCCCGGCTGCGGGTGGAAGACGCGCTTGATGTCGTCCGAGACGAAGTTCCGACACACCCAGGCAAGAGCGCCCGCGTACAGCTTGTCCGGGTTTCCTGGCAAGGTATCCCTTACGAGGTTGAGTGTAGCCTTCATTTCATCGTCGCAGATCCGGAAGGGATTCCACTGGAACACACATGCGTTGAGGATGCCGCTTAGGCCAACATCATTGCCGCCGGCGCTGACGGTGATGAGGTCATATCCTGTGCCCAGCTCGGACACTTGGCTGGATAGGATCTCGGGGCTCGTGGCGCCGGAGCAGGCCAGGTATTCGAAGGCTGCGGCAGGATCTTGTGGCATAAGATCGCCTACCAGGGGGGAGGGGGGTTTCTGACGGGGTCATGCAATGCACTTATGTTTTAATAATCAATTAAAATTTTATAATTCTAGCGAAATGCTAGTAAAAAACTATTAAAATATTATTAAAAGCAAATTATATTAAGGCTTTAAATTATATTAATATTAACTTTATATTAGCTAATATTATTATAATTTTATATTAAAAGCTTTAATTTAAATCTTATTTACTTTAAAATTATTTTTATTTTTAAATATTTTTATAATTTCATAAATTTTCTTATAATAAATAGTTAAGTCAATAAAGAATAAATAAATAGTTAAGTTAAAGATAAAAAAAAGGGTTTTTTTTAAGGGGGTTATGTTAAATGCTAATATTATATTACATTATATTAAAATTAAAATTATATTAAGATTAAGTATATATTAATAATGTGTAAATAATGTAAGACATATAAAAAAACATACTATTAAAACCTTAATAGCATGTTACTATTATATCACTATTCCATTAACTTGCTTACAGCACCTAAACAAAAACCCCCCTTCCCCCTGGTAGGCGTTGTCGTGAATAAAGCTGGGTAGGACTGGTCGTAACGAGCGCAGGCGGCTGAGGAGTTGGGATAAGGGCTACCGGACCCAATACCGGCGGAGCCTGAGAGAGTATCATGTTAGTGGTGCGACCTGATAGACTTGCATCGAGTGCAGCTGAACATACTATGAGTCTCCGATAGTTAGCTGCCCATTTCTTCACCCAGGACAAGTCATATGGGTCAGGGGGAGCCGCCTTAGCCGAGTCCCAGTTGTTGTCGCAGACGCAAACGTTGCTGTCGAAATAGTCCGAGAAGATTCAAATACAGGATTTAAGGCAGCCTTGACAAGATTCTCACGTACTTCGAACCGCACCATGCTTGTCCAAGACCGTTGCATTGTGACACACATGGGGAATCCGCAGCGCAGCTCAAGACGCATTGGCCCTCAACAACTCCTCTGGGCAGTGCGCCAGCATGACTTTTAGATCTGCATGTTCATGAGGCGGGTGCCTTCTCTTCAAACTCACTTGTCCTTGTTTGGAACAGCCAGACAGCGATGCGCAGCAGTCCCGTTAGCCGGACATGCGTCCAAGACGGCTGTTGTACATTGATCAGCGGCAACGAGCGCCTCCTCAGTGGCATTGCCAGCATCGGCTTGGGCTGTGGTATACCCGGCCAGGGCACCTAGCAGAAAGATCTCGATCTTCATATCGAGTAACGAAAGTGAAGGGAAAAAACCGAGTAAAGAGCGAGGGAGCACTGCCAACTGTTGGACTACGTGCAGATGAAGGAGTGTGGCGAAGAAGTTTAGTACGATCTACATGTCCTGAACTGACACGACGAGAGCTGCTCGTGTAGCTATGATATCGACTGCATTCAGTACATATGTACCTAGGTACTGTCCAAGAACTAGACCCCTGACTAGACAACTCTGAATTTGAGGACTAATTAGATATTCCCCAGACCGTTATCAGCCTCAAACCGCGCCCGGACCTCTTCTTATTACCTGCCGCAAAGCCTCTTTGATTGAAGTCAAACCTTTCTATTGCGGGTCCTGGGCCCATGGGACCGAAACATTGCAGCAAACAGTCAGCCTTACGAGCCTCATGTCTCCGGGTGTTAGGCACGCTTGCCTGGTAAGGGCCTAGCTGCTCGTTGAACGTTGAGCCGCCAGCCCGCCAAGTTGTCCGCGGGCACTAGCAGGTTCAGCCGTGTCGCTCGTCCGAAAGCCATGACTCGTCGCTAGCTTGTCGCAGCTAAACGAGTTCTCATGCTGGGCTTCCTTAGCACGCAGTCTGGAATTCTGGCGGGACGGTCCTTGATGGAATCGACATATGGACTTGGCAAAGCGGCGAGCGCGCTGTCACTCAGCCTCAGTTTGCCAGGTTGACCAAGTGCAGTTGCCATATCTTGGTACCATCTCATAGCTTTAGAATTGGACACATCACACTGTCCGGCACCCGTCCGAGTATTCTTGGAGTTTGGCCACATTGGTAGAGGGGATGTCCTCGCTCTCGGCCTGGTGAAGAGGATAGACTGTCTCGGCTTCCTCACATGACATCTGATGGACAAAGGTAGCATCATGTGCTGCCGGTCCATTTGGTTGTCCAATGATGTTCTCACCGACGTTGTATCCGATGGGAGTTCCAGTGGCATTTGGTTTGGCGTCGATCAGGCCACCGCTGAGAGTGAACCAGTCAAGCGTAGCCCCAAGGGTGGAAGGCTTAGACAGGGCGCAAAGGATGCCCTCACCGACGTTGTTTCCGACGGTATTTCCGCCGGTATTTGGTACGGCGTGGACAAGGCCACCGACGAGAAGCGCAGTTCTCCGAGTGAGGATGAGGTCTTGGACAAATTTGGAGGCCTTCAAATGGACACAAAGGACTTGTCGGGCTCACCGAAGTCTTCCCTTCCAACGGCTGCGGCAGCTCTACACCTGCGAACGGTGGCGGTAGCTCTGCTCCTGCTAACAGGGGAAACTCCACGCCTGCCAACGGCGGTAGCTCCCCTGGCGGCGACCTCAACAACGGCTCGGGCTCGGGCTCGGGCTCAGGATTCGTTCAGGGTGCTAAAGACACCGCTAAGGAGATGACACAAGACATCGTCACCGATGCCGCATCCGGAGCTATTGTCGCCGGGATCGAGGCCGCGCAGGTTCCCGAGGAGACTGCTGCACCCGTCCCACCGCCAGCCAAGCGAGCCTTGAGGTCTTTCGCTTAAAAGGAGGACGGTCAGGGGAAACAGTGGTGACGGGCGAGGAAAACCTCTCAAGATGTAAGTTAAGAATGGTAAAGATTCGCACAAGGCTCTGATTAGCAGCGAAACTATCAGGGGTAAAGCATAGATACATCTGTCGTTCAGCACTTGTTACAGTACGTATATAGGTGCAAGCCACGGAAATGCTCTCGGCATTACAACGTCCCTCTTTTGGGTGTTTGGCGTAATAGGCTTTCTTATGCCGTGATAGTTTATAATGCCTCCCTAGGGGTTTTGAGTTTAAGCCAGATTTTATAACTTTATTTCTCCTTTAGCCATGGAATTTTTCTTATATAGGCAGGGGCCTAATATGATCTTAAATCTATCTATGGGAAGAAGGTAAATTGTAATTAAGAAGCTGGAATAATACTTAACTTAGAACTTTAAAATAATACTTATGGATTTATTTTAAGGGGTACTTAGCAAAAAGGTAGCAAGCTAGCTCTATTAATTTATTAGGATAATAAATCTTAAGGTTAGATAACTATTATAGTACGCTATATAAGTAATAGCCACGGTAATGCTCTCGGCATTACAACATCCCTCTTTTGGGTGTCTAGCGCAATAGGCTTTCTTGTGCCGTGACAGCACTTTCCTCGCATTCTAGATGGAAACTTAGCGGGCTGTAGTGCCATTTAGCTAGCTAGTAGCAATCACTAATTGAACCAGTTGTGCAAATCCATGACGTCCTGCGTTTCTGTCAGTGACACTGATGTCCAAATTATCTATGGTTGAGCATGTAAAGATCCAGGGGCCGTGATAGGATTCTTACGACAAGGGTGGTTCTTTCTTAATAGAGCCCCAGACGAAACATTGGGAGCTCTTAACTTGTACTTCGAAACAATTTGCCACCTTGTTGCACCGTACCGCTTGGAAATCTGTAAGGACATGATGGCTGCCGAGGCGGTGACCATCATTTCCGGCGCGAGGATAATACTTACGGATTCCAAGTGCCATCAGAAGAGAGAACCAATCCCTGTTACAGAGCTCTGCGGTGGCCAAACAATCAACCATATGTTTAGGCAAGATTCCGTGTTGTGGCTTCTATTACTAAATCGTAGATGTTGAGTAGTGTTCAGGAAATAAGAGCCTTCTCATATCGACGTTTGCAGAACCAACTCAGCTAGAACGAGTTAGCCTCACACCCATCTTACGGTTGTCAGTGTTGTCAACCACCCTGCAATATATGCTACCTGGCATGTGTACAGGGTGACCTGAAAAAGATTATCCATGTCGCTACAACTCCCCGGAAAGAATGTAACCAAATCCAACCAATCATAATTTCTAATTTATCCTTTTTATAATTAAACTTACATTATTATAGCAAATTTAGAATATAATGCTTTAAAAAAGCTACCTTTTTCTCTCTTATTCTTACCTTGAAAAGCTGGTATTATTTTTTTGGTAACGCATAGATAAGAAAGGAGAGTCAAGGGTCTCTTCGCCAACGCCACGGAAGTCACGAATTAGGCTTCTTTGTCAGGTTTCCCTGTAGTCATCCAGACCTTGGATCAGCTCAACGATCTCCCAATTCGCCCTGGTCTTTCGTTTCCGGTGATCGGCGAGCAGCTGAGGAGGAGCTGAGCCGGGTTGCTACCCCACATCTACCCTGCATAACATGTCCGCTAGAATCTCCTTTAGGTTTAACCCCTCTTATGTTTGTGGTGCCCGTTTCCCACCCAGCCTTTGTCGTCACTCTTCCCCGGCAGACCGGTTCGTCCGGCTAGCCCGGTCCAGTATGGGGGACAGGGGCAGCAGCGACGTTTTTTCCCACTATGACGTGTCGGTCACCTGGGATCCCCTGGCCGGATCCCGGTGTGGGTTGTGAGGAGGACGATCAATTCACTAAAGTTTAATCCAGCTTTGCCTTTGCGTGGTTTCGAGTGAAGCTACGCGCGGGCCAAGACCTGCGCCCACCGGTTGACCGAAGCCACCATACGATTCCGGCCGTTTCCCCCCAGCTGCGGTGCTCCTTCACTGGTTGCCTCGAGCTGCTGCGATTCACCCTCAATAACTCTGCGTGACTAGCCTGCCTTGTTTTTATCGTGTGTCTTACCCCTCATGTCTTACTCCGGTGCGACTTCCGTGGGCCAAATTTATCTGCAACTGCCCAGTTGGTTTTCGTTGCAGGGCGTGGCCGACTTTTGACTCTCAACCACCACTTACCTGTACGAAACATATGCACAGGTCAAGATCATGATGGCCATGCCTCTCCTCGTCAGGAGGGTGCTCCTCCTTCTCACCATGACGGCGGCAGCAGTGGTCGCCGATATATACGACACCCGTTTCGACGGGGTGACCTGGGACAACGACAACTGGATCCTCAAGACGACAGCTCTCGACCAGGGCCACTACCAATCGCGCATGTCCCTCGCCAATGGCTATCTGGGAATCAACCTGGCCGCAGTCGGGCCCTTTTTCGAGGTTGACACCCCAGTGAACGGGGACAATATCAACGGCTGGCCACTTTTTGGTCAGAGACAGACCTTTGCAACCATCAGTGGCTTCTGGGACCTGCAGCCCACCACCAACGGCACCAACTTTGAGTGGCTGCACGAGTACGGCGGGGAGAGCGTCATCAGCGGTGTTCCTCACTGGGCTGGCTTGACCGTCAACGTTGGAGGGCAAACACTCAATGCTTCCGTAGATGCCGCCCAGATCTCCGACTTCACCTCGACTGTGGACTTCAAAGCCGGTGTCATGTCGTGGAACTATACCTGGACACCTGCCAACGGCACATCTTTGGGGATCGGGTATACCCTCTTCGTTCACAAGCTCAATGTCAACCAAGCCGCCATCCAATTGACCATTGCGGCAGAATCCGACGTAAATGTCACAGTAGCCGATGTCATCGATGGTGACTCTGCCGTGCGAACGGACTTTGAGGACAAAGGCTCAGGAAACAGCACAATCTGGACGGCCGTCCGACCCAATGGCATCAGCAATGTGACAGCGTACATATACTCAAGGCTCTCAGGAGACGGCATTTCGACAACTCAACCCATCACAGACAGCACGGACTTTGGCCGAAATCAGTCAAGCATTTCACAGTCCGCCGAAGTCAGTATTCGTGGCGGGAGCAGCACGACGATTACCAAGTATATCGGAGGAGCCTCTACAGATGCCTTCGCAGATCCGCAGTCTGTCGCCCGAGAAGCATCGTCCTCCGCCGCGGCAGCAGGCTTCGACAGTCTTCTCGAGTCACACAAGGCCGAATGGGCGAGCATTCTAACAGCAGACTCTGTCGATGACTACTCCATCCCAGAAACCGGCAGGCTTCCAGATGACCCATACATCGTCGAGCAGCAAATCATTTCCGTGACCAATCCCTTCCAACTGCTGCAGAACACTGTTGGTCCCAATGCCATCTCCGCCGCTGGGAACAACTCCATGTTGAATGTGAACAGCATCAGTGTCGGTGGGCTCGGCTCTGATAGCTATGCTGGACTCGTCTTCTGGGACGCCGATATCTGGATGTCGTCAGGCCTGGTTGTCACCTTTCCTGAGGCGGCTAAAGCCATAGATAACTACAGAACGAGGCTGTTCCCACAGGCACAGAAGAACATTGAGATGGCTTTCATCTCATCGCAAAACGCCACGGGAAAGTTCTCATCCGGGGGCGCAGTCTATCCTTGGACGAGTGGCCGTTTTGGAAACTGTACAGGTGAGTTTACACCTGACTGCTCAAACGATGGAAGACAGTTGATACTGACTAACTACACAGCGACTGGGCCATGCTTTGACTACGAGTACCATATCAACGGAGACATTGGACTCGGCCTGTACAATTACTACGCAGTCACTGGCGATGAAGGCACATTCAGGAATGAAATGTTCCCTATATATGATGCCATCTCGACATTCTACTCTGACCTGCTCTCCTTGAACGAGTCCTCAGGGAAGTGGATGCTGACAAATGCTACCGACCCGGTATGTTCTCACTGAGGGCGTTGAAGATCTAAATGAATGTGTTGCTAATAGATATCCGCAGGACGAGTACGCAAACCATGTAGACAACCCCGGTTTCACAATGGCCTTGATAGAAACGCACCTGAACAGGTCAAACGCCTTCCGCTCGAACTTTGACTTGGAATTGGATGACACAGCCGCCAACCAGAGCTCCAAGATCGAAGTTCCTGTCTTGGAAGAGGCAAACCTGATCCTGGAGTACGCTACTATGAATGGTTCAATCTCCGTCAAGCAGGCCGATGTCGTTCTTGTCGACGACTTCCTCTCATACCCCAACCCGTATTCTCTGTCTGACCTGGACTACTACGCCGGGAAGCAGTCCCCGAACGGGCCAGGGATGACATACGGCGTTTTCAGCATCGTCGCAAACGCGTTCTCCCCTTCCGGATGCTCAGCATATACCTACGACGTATACGCCTCCCACCCCTACATTCGGGCACCGTGGTTTCAGTACTCGGAGCAGTTACTAGACGACTACACCGAGAATGGGGGCACTCATCCTGCGTATCCATTCCTTACAGGGTCCGGAGGCGCACACAGGGTAGCCATATTTGGCTATCTGGGATTGCGTCTGCAGCTGGAATCCCTCAACATCGACCCATCACTTCCACCGCAAATTTCCCACCTGGATTACAGGACCTTCTACTGGCAGGGCCACGCCATAAATGCGACGTCTAACGCGACACACACCAGCCTCAGCAGAATCCCAGGCAACAGCCTGCCCAACGCCAACCAAGCATATGCCGATTCATCCATCCCAATTACGATCGGTAGAAACACAACAGACACAGCCCACCAGCTCCCAGCCTCAGGTGACATCGTGACCATCCAGAACCGAGCCATCGGCACCATCAAGACCTGGGCTGGCAATCTAGCCCAGTGCCTCCCAGCAACGAGCCCGGAGGACTTTGAGCCAGGCCAGTTCCCCTTTGCCGCCAACGACGGCGCGGTCTCGACCAAGTGGCAGCCAATCGCCGCCAACGTGTCGAGCAGCGTGACGGTCGACCTCGGCGAAGACACCGCAGGCGAGCGGGTCGCAGGCTTCAGGTTCGACTGGGCGCAGGCGCCGCCCCGGGGATACGCCGTGTCGTTCTCCAACTCGAGCGGCGGTGCCGGGGCGGCGGGCACCGGGGACAGCGCGGCAAACGTCACGGAGAGCGACAGCGTGGAGATTAGTGACCTCTATGACACCGAGAGCCTCTCTCTGATCACCCCGTACTCGAGCAACACGACCAATGTGACGCTGGACGGCGAGGTGTACAGTGGTCGGTATGCGACGCTGACTATCTGGGGGAACCAGGCCACCGGGGACGACGGCGTCGGGGCGACGGTTGCTGAGTTTGCTGTGATTGTGGAGGGTGGCGATACCGGGAACTCCACGGGTGGCGGAGGTGGTGGCAGCAATGGGAATGGAAATGGCGGAGGCAGCAGTGATGGTGGTGGATCAGACGAAAACCAGGCGAGCAGGGTCGGTGCTTCTCGCGGGTCGTTTGTTGCTTTGGTGGTGGGCCTGACATCTCTGTTCTTGCTGTTCTAATGATGTCACTAGAATGAAATCTCCGGTCAAATTACGGGAGCAATCTATTTGGTCATCCACCGCTTACGGGGCTTAGGCCAACATTACCTGTTGCCATAGTCATGTCTAAGTTGTGAAGCAATCATAGTTCCCGGGGCCCTGTGTAAGTTTCTGGTACACACCGGTGGTTCGATGGCCCTTCACAATGGCCATTGGAGTAAAGTGAGATGTGAATGGTATTTTCTGGTCGGTTTATCTACCAAGCTAGGCGGAGGATGACCTCCTGTGGTATAGCCTCCTGTGGGATAACTTCCTCTCAGATAACCTCCGCTAGGATAACCTGCTCTAGGATAACCTTCCTAAGACCTCCTCCTGTGGGACGCCTCCGTCATGACACTGGGGCCTCGCATGGCCAGTAGCTGGTTCATTCGTAACAATACTTTAGTACCGTCTTCAGTCTCGACTGTGGTCTGACACAGAGCTCTTCCCTTCCAAAAGATCTCGAGCTTCAGTCCATGCCTGTCCTGATAGCCGAGGTGCCATTGACCATGCCCAACTCCATTTTTGCAGACAACTCTGAGCGAAGCTGAAATCAATTATGGTCGGCCTCGACCTCCACGTCCTCGTCCTGCTGCTGCAGATCATCCTCCGTCAGAGGCTCTCCCAGCATGAGTCTCGCGAGAAAGGACCCCTCCACCATCTCCATGATTTGGTTGAGCTTGGGTCCGCTCCTTCCAAGGTAGGGGGCTGGCCCCTCCAGCATGCCAGTGATGTCCGCCAGCCAGTTGCTCATCTCCGGGTGGGAGCCGGTGAAGAGCTGAAGCTCGGTGCCCACGCTCCGGGCTGCCCGCTCACACCTGTAGTACCAGTCGAGGACTTTGACCCAGATAAGTTCGTTCCCTGCGGGACAGTTGAAGCCAGTGCCCTGGACACAGCACTGGGGCTCAGGCCAGCCGCGTGAGACCAGGACGTCCATCTCGGTGGTGTCGCGGACGTGGATCGTGTGGCCGACGCGGGGATCCTTCATGGCGATGGGGTATCCGAGTGCCACGGCGACCTCGGGCTCGGGGGCGCCGAGGTGAGAATCCTCAGGGTATGCAACTGGATCCAAATTCTTGGTCGTTCGGTGGGTGAGGAAGACCTTGTCGATGGAGGGCAGGACAGGGGACCTGGTGTCATAAAAGACCCACTCGCCGGCTTGGAAGCTGATGCTGTAGCCGTAGGACCACAGGCCCAGCCGGTCCATGATGGGGACAAGACAGTCGATGACGAGGGTGCTGAAAATCCAGACATTGTCCAGTGAAAATTTGACAAGCATCATGCACGGCTTGAGTCCCTTGAGGACAAGAAGGAACTCCAGGTAGTGGCGGAGGTGAGCTGCGCCAACCCACCACTCGCCGTCGCCAGTGCTGTCATTGGTGGGGAGATGGCGCTCGCCAGAGCCGATTTGAAGGCCCGCTGGCGCATTAAGAATGATGTCGCGCTCCTGGTCTCGGAATGCCTGCACGCCAAATAATGTCAGAAGCTTTGCCTAATCCCACACACTGATAGACACGCAAGGTAGGGAAGCGAGGGAGTGTTCAAATGTTGTTTGGAAGGTAGCTGACCTTGAAGGCTTCCTCCACCACGCGATCGAAGTTGCCGTCGTCGCGCTGCTTCTCGTCGCTTCCGCTGCTGTCTGGGCGGTCAGAGAGAGGGTGCTCGTCAAGATCGAGGCAAATTGGACGGAGGTCTGCTTCCTCCAGTTTGTGGGATGGGTCAAGTGCAAGGTTGACTCTCTTTGCCACCAGCTCCATGTCGTGCTTGCAATCGCAATCAGGGGTAGCACAGAATCTGCATGAAGTAATCAAGGCCTTCAGGCCATAATTAGCCGTGCTGGCCATGGCTTTGTGGTGTGGTGGAGTGGGCAGAAAATGGAAGAGTGTGGAAAGGAAGGAGGCCAGGAAGCGCAACAAGGAAGGTGCTGATGGTGAGAGATGGGAAAAGCGGAGGCTCAAGCCTGTTGCCTGAAGTTTTGTTATTTGTATTTTTGTCATACAAACGGCTTGGGTGCATTCACCCACGCATTCACTGGTTCCAGGTGTCTGGACCCCAGTCACCCACACTGTGACTTGGTCAAGTCCAGTGGTGGCCATCAAACACTTACTTTGCTGTTGGTGTGATAGGGCTAGCTGTACCACTGGCCCAAAAGTGTGACCAGAGCCTTAGGGTGACGTTGATCTGTGAACAGAGGAGCGAGTCACCCCACTTGGGCTTTGACCATTGAATGACTACTGAAGTGCAAGTGACAAGACACACTCCACAGTCATAGGGACAAGACGGTCGCATACCAGAGTTCAGTGCCTGCTTCAGTCGCATCTACATTCCAGCTCTTCTCTGACGTAAAGGATGGGGTGCGGCTCCTCTTGATCAATTATGGCTTTATCATCCGATATCACGATGCGGTAAATTATATCATCCCTCCGGCCTATCTCTGACACACTTATCTTGAATTTCCGACTCAAGTCTCTGCCAAATCAATCTCGTAGTCTTTGAACTGTCTGGCAGGGATCTTCCTATCGAACAACAGATCCAGCTCCTCGAATGTCCGTCCCATGGTCTCGGGGATGCGCAGATACGCCCAGACAAAGCACAACGCCGCCAGGCCCCCGAAGAAGAACCCCAGCTTCCCCTGCATGTTGGCCTCGTCCGGGTTGATCATGTAGGGGATACCAACAGTCATCACGATCCCGACAATGGCCTGCGACGCCGTGGCCACGGCGATTGACTTGGACCGCACGCGGGTGGCCGAGGCCTCGGAGATGATGATGAAGCAGATGGGGCCTACAGAGAGGTCAAAGGCAAAGTTCCAGACGATCATGAGCGAGGACTCGGCATATGCAACGCCATTGGGGCGGCCGGGGACGCAGTCGAGGATGCCGATCAGGAGCATGAGAAATACAAGGGCTGCAAGGCCACAGAGATAGATGGCGCGCCGACCAAATCGGACGATAAAGAACCAGGAGAGTATTGTCCCGACGAAGCCAACAGCTATGGGAGCCGTGTCAGCACGGTGCCACTAACTGATGTCTCGGGCCGGTCCGAGGAAACGGCCGAGGAGCAGGTTTGTGTCGGGAGGTTGGACGAGACAAGGACAGGACGGAAGAGGAGGGCAGTGACCGTGAGAAATAGAGTACCAGTGGGAACGGGAAGTTCAGCGACATACCTAAGAACACAATTCCCATGCCAAAAGCCATGCTCGTCGGCAAGCCAGCGAGCTGGAAAAAGTAAGTGCCGTAGTTGATGAGATAAATGCCGCTCAGGACCTGGGTACAGTAAACACCGCAGCTGATCTCGGTCCGCCGCAGGTTCACGCCACGGAAGCAGTCCCAGTAGGTGCTTCCCGCCTCGAGCTCCATCTCGAGCCGGTCCGTCTCCTCGATCATGGCCAGCGTCGCCACGACGTCGACCTTCTCGTTCGCCAGCCGGCGCAGCGACTGCTCCGCCTCGTCCCTCCGCCCCTGGCGGACCAGCCACCACGGGCTCTCGGGCACGAAGAACAGGCCAGGTAGGATGATGGCGACCCATACCCACTGCAGCGCGAAGGGCAGGCTGTAGGCCCAGTGGTCGTCCCTGGTCTGCGTGCCCGCCGTGACGCCGTTGGCAATGAGCTGGCCCATAACGAAGCACAGGTTGACGTAGCTCGTGAGGTGGCCGCGCAGCGCGACGGGGCACACCTCACTCGCGTACGCCGGCGCGATGACAACGTAGCACCCGAGCACCAGGCCGCCCAGCAGCTCACCGACCAGCAGCACGGTCAGGGAGCGGGCGAAGAACTGGATGAAGACGAGCGCGCCGGTCAGGATGACACAGGCGGCGAAAGTCCACTTGCGGCCGAAGAGGTCCATCGGGTAGGCGGCGAAGAGGGCGCCGACGACCTGGCCCACGGGGTTGCCCATGGACAGGCCGGTCTGCCACGCGGCCGAGATGATGTAGCCGCCGTCGTAGGGGTAGCCAAAGTCGCGCTGGAACCGGGGCGTCGCGTACAGGTTGCCGAGGAGCTGGGGGTCAAAGGCCAGCATGATGACGCCCAGCGAGACGAAGGCGCTCCAGAAGATGGCCCTGGGGTAGAGGCGGCACGCCTGGGTGAAGGTGAGCTCGTGCTCGGCCTGGATGGCGTGGGCCGTCGTGATCGTCTGCCCGATGACGGGCTTCGTTATGGTATCGTCTGCATCCTCAGCTGTGGGGTGCTTTGTGAGGTCGTCGGCTGCCATGGTGGGCGGTGATGCTGACGGCCTGCTCTTGTACGACGAGGAGGAGGCAAAAGTACTGTAGCTGGTCCGTGGTTGTCCTTGCTGTTGACTTGGTGTGATGCTAGATGGTTCGCCGTCTGCTGCTGCGGCTCTCACCTCCCCTATTAATGGTCTCCTCTCGCGAGCGTCGTCGGAAGACACTGCTCGCGAGCTGAGATTCTCACCGCAGCCATGGCCTGGGTCTCGTGCCATATTTATCAATACCTGGGGATTACGGGTGGAGAGCCGGCACGCCTCGCTATGCCGGTTCCCTTTATCCTTGTTATCAGCGGAGCCCGAGCCAGACGCAGCTGCAGATGGCTTCAGCAGTGCAACGTTGATGGTGAGAAAATGTTCAGCTAACCCCAACGCGGAGACGGGGAAGATGCAGGGCCAGTGGGGTTTAGGTTTAGCGCCAGGAGACAAGCAACGAGACAGGTCGAGGCCGTTCCGGGGTCATCCCCGGTTCTGCAACTGTCGTACAGACTACATGCTGACAGCCTCTGAAGATCAACACGAGGGTCTCAGAAACAAATATTGCTTCTTTCGAATTGCCGTGCGGCGCCAGACTCCGATGAAACGAGCCTCCAGTGAATGGCGGCCCATCTAGGTAAACAAGCTGGGCGCAATCCATCAGTCGGCGTCGTTTCTCCGTATTTACTTCGGAACCATTTTCAGCCGGAAAAACATGGCGCACCCATTCCCATTTCTACGTCAATAGTCTGGACTTGTTCAGCCTTTGGTGAAGATGTGAAGCAGTCTTCCTCAGCCAGTGTGTTCAACACCGTGGACTTTTCCTTGGGGTTTTCAAGTCTTCGTGTGCCGGGGATAACTATGTCGAACATCCGAGCTTAACGGAAATACATTGCAGTAAAACAGCTCAACATAGATACTGCTGAATGACACTGAAGAGTCATCGTCTCTCTGCCCACGCCAAGTTCCACTACGCTACCTTTCCTCCCTCCTCCTGCCCTTTTTGCCTCGTTTCGATGAATGCGATCTTCCGCCTTCTTTCTGCTTCCCTTTTTCCTCGATTTCTTTTCCACATTAGAGCTCTCCGTCCCGGAATCGAAGTCCCCTCCCGAACCCGACGCACCGCTCGACTCTGAACATGATCCGCTGTGTGACATAACATCTGACTCGTCCTCATCGTTGCTAAACAGTCTCGTTCGAGTTTTCCTTCGGGTTGGCATGGCTCGCATCTTCTCGAGTACTGCCCTCCCGTCCTCGTCTTCGCCATGCGTCTCGCGCAGGTACTCACTGAATTGCGCTGAGACGCGGGCCAATTTTTTGAAGTGAGCTGTGGTCAAAATCGGTGATGTCTTGGAAGACCCATCATCTCTCTGCGCGTCCCGCTGCTTGGCCTCAAACTCGGCGAGTGCCACGGCGGCCTGAAAGGCGTTTCGGATTTGCCTTCTGTTCCATTGGATATCCTGGCAGTGCTTCTTTACCCAAGCGATGATCTTCTTGTCATTGAAGTCTATGGGAAGCTGGACTGACTCTATGAGAAGCTTGTTGTTCTCCTTCAGTCGTTGAAAGTTGGTCTTCCAAATCTTCAACGTCTGGGTCTCTGTGAGCTTTGGGTAGTAGAGCGTCAGATGGAGACGTGATCGGAAGGCATCATCGATGGCGCCAACTCGGTTCGTAGTGAGAAAGAGGATTCCAGAGTAATACTCCAAAATCCTCAAGAAGACTCGTTCTTGTTGTCAGCGGAATCAAAAACTGGGAGCAATTATTACCCACCTGATACCAGGCCGTTTCGTTTGACATCGCTCTTCTATGGCTCCGAATTAGTTAAACCTTCCCATTTCATAAGCTTACTGCCAGTGAGCTATACGTCACGCTTGGCAAGAAAAACATCTGCCTCGTCAAGTAGCAAGACGCAGCCCCATCTATTGGCCAATTTGAAGTGTTTCTCCATGTGGCGTTAAACATCTTCGGGCTCGTATCCAACGTCTCCTGCAGTATTAAACCGCATTAGTGCACGAACGAATTCAAGAATTAACAGTGAAAAGAGTTCTAGGCACAAGAGTAACATACCGCAAGTGATAGAGTATAGTGGACGTTTCGTATATGAGGCGACGCATTCTCGACAGCGTCAGTAATCAAAGGTAGTGAGTCAATATGTCAGTGAACCTACCCGCAGTGGATGTCTTTCCCACCCCAGGTACACCATGGAGCAGAATGATGCACCCATTTCCTATATCCACTGTTAGTAATGTGTAATACGACAATTACGGAGTTCAATGTCTATCAATCACCCTTGCCGCGCACCAAGTCCATCTCAAATCTATCCCTCTTGGCCTCCTGGTCGTTCTTCTTTGAGTCAACCGAGTGCGTCTCGACCATTGCTTGGACAATTTTCCTGTGGCCCCTTGGAAGAACGAGCTTGCTCCATCCATCTTGCTGCTGGACAAGTTCCAGTTGGTCGAGGTTGAGCTGAACTGTATGATAGTTAGTCCTGTTTCATCATTTGATGACTGCCAGGCGATTACGGAGTGAAAACCCAGGGACTGAGACTGGCAAAAGCTCAATGAGGTCCAAATGCTCCATGAACTCCTTGAAACGGTTGGTTTCCGTGTCATTTCTCGGAAGAGATCCGAATTCCTCCAGGCGCCCCTTTGTTTGATACCACATGGAACCTGGCCAGTGAATCCCATTCTCAATGTAGTACGCGTCGAAACCGCAGGCCTTCCTGTAGCAATAAGGATTGCCTGCACAAACAGAAGAGTTAGGACGAACAGAAGAGTCAGAATGCGCAAAGAGGTCCGGGACATCTTGATGATTCGATGATGACAGGTTTTCCGGCCAAGATAGGAACTTTGGGACAACCGAATCGCGCTGGGGAAAGGCTTGCTGGTATTCGGTGAAAGCTAGTTTCAGGTCTATAACGACCGGGCTATTACACTACCTCCAACATAAGCAAATTGAACAGCGATCTACGAGTGAAACGTAAACAAGTTTCAAATCTCACCTCTTCTTTGGTCTCACCAACCGTCATACCCACATGCTCCATGTGACGAGGCGAAGTTGTGACATCGATGAACTTCCGGCCTCTTTGAACGAGCCTGTTCGAGCTAGGACCGACAAAATACGTCAACGGATAAGCTTCTAAAGACTTGATATGCATCTGCCCATCAAATGGCTTGAAGGTGAAGCACTCAATCAGAGTCCCATATCTGACGCCATCGAAGTCGACATACAGACTAAGTACGTCGAGAGAAGAAAATTTATCCTGCGCTCTTTGTAGTGCAGGAGCGTTGGACAGTGTGCTGGAGGAGGAAAGGCCACTGGAAGGAAATCGCGAGAGAGTGTAGTGGTTCGGTTGGTCTCCTGTGACACGGAGTGCGCTCGACTTTGAAGGGACCACAGGAGCTCCACCACCCGCTGCCATGACACGATAGGCCTGCGGCAAATAACGTCTTCTGGTGACATATTTTAGCTGATCGTTGCTGTCGTTGTGGCCGGTTGGCAGTTCCGACCTCGCCTTGAATTTGTTTAATTTCATCTGAGTCTCTCTCTGAGGACAACAAATCTTTCCTCCACTGTTGAAAAGCATCCACAAGTCTTCGTGCACGACCATCTCTGCACGACCAGCTTGATAAGATTCGAACAGAGCTGTCTTTTCGCCCAGGTACTGGTCGATGAATTGGACAGGATGACGAGCCGGAAATGTTCAAGTGCTGGCTTCTGATCGAACGTTTCCGAGACTTGCTCGCTCTCTACATTCGGAGTTGTACTTGATTCGTTCTCCTCAGAAGAAGATTGGGAAGTGCTTTGGTGTCCGCGAACGTCGGTGTCGCTGTATCCTGCTCCTCCCGGTCCATATCTCTTCATCAAGATGGTGAGCCGATATTTTAATCGACTGTAATTGCATACAATGGTTCGAAATGGCTTTGCTAGTTTCAAGATTGGAAACCTAGCCGTGAAGGCGGGGGGCCAACCGGCTTGGAAGCCAAGTCGACGCTCAAAAAATGCGGTAACGGGTCGAGATGAAACCATAAAGCTCAGAACATCTATATCCTTCGAATTTGGGGTGCCCTCAGTAACTGATGTCTGTCCAGAGGATGTCGCATCCCTTTTCCATTCGAACTGTACACGGATAAGGTAATTTGGATCGCTCGCAGAAGTGTAACGATAGTGAATGAACTTTGAATCATTGCCGAATCCACTCATAAAACCAAATCCATCATCGGACCGATAGAAACGCGTCTCCAGCAAGACTTCCTTGAAGGGGTCTGCAGGCATGGGCGTGGCATCTTGACCCGACTCGGTGTATTTGGAATCTCCGAGCCTGGAAGAAGACTTCTTGGGCACATCCGAAACTGAGCTTTCATGATGACAAGAGCGGCTGTGGGTCGAGTCGTGTGGCCCTTGCGACTGAGGTGCCGTGCATTGCTGTTTGGCCTTTCTGCTGATTGGGAGGCATCCAGCGACCTCTGCGAAGACCTCCTGTGTTGCTCGGCTACCTGTACAGTAAAATTTCATTAACACAAAGCTTCATGTCTTCCAGAATGACGGAATTATCACACCATTCTGCGACTCCATCATCAATCTTCAGGAGCAGGTGAAGCAAGTGGCTCACAGAATGATCCACGATGTTATGTCTGGAAGGATTCAATCTTGGCCAACTGCCGTGGATGATTCAAGTAGAGATCTTGTTCAGTTCGAAGGACTAGAGGGTGCTGCGTTCGTGGCAAATGAAGCAAAAGTTGAGCACTGCGTCTCGCGCACATATGTACGCAGACAACTAGGCGCACAAGTTAGGGCAGGTCTATGTTCCTCTGAGGGAGACATGAAGTATCGTTCCAAAGGTTCCACATGACCCGTAAATAAGAAGTGTGACTCAACGAGGCCACAACATACCGTTGATTAACCATGTTGTTTGTAGGCTTGCGGGTACTACGATAGCAAACAATCATTGCCCGTGCAAACTATCTAGACACGCAGTCTCTGTGTGTCGCCGGTGCCAGAGTGCAACCTCATTCTCGCTTCGAGATCCGCCTACGTACATACACGCTTCCACGTATAGTGCCACGACGTGCCACGGGAGTGACAGGCGGCCCTGTTGAGCCAACTGTTGGGCCACTTGCCTCACCGAAATGCTGCAAATGCATGTACTACGAGCCAGGAGTGATACTTGACTGTCCTATCGATATAGGTAGTGATCACATGGCTTGCAAAATTCGAAACCGGCCTGACCTATGCATCGCAGTTTTGCGTGGTGCTGTCTCACATGGCTGTTTTCATCTGTCCATGGAGCCGCGCCCTTGGCTTTTTTGCCCGAGTCTAAACTCTCAGGCCCATCCAACTCATAGACGTTGTTTCTTGGAAAGCTGGTTTACTTTTCACTCTATTCAATCAAAAATCGACCAGGTGTCTCAGCTAAGTCACAATGCTTGGAAATTCATGCGCAAGCTACGTCCAATTCAGAGTTGGCCCGGCGATTATCAACAAAGCTGTTGAGGTTAGCCCCAGCCTCTTGGCCGAAGACGTGAAGTTCATACGCAAACACGATAAATTCGTACACGAACAGGACGTACCGAGGTAGTCGTTAGTCATGTTCGACAAAGCTCTGTGTCTAACAAGCTTTGCAGCCTGATGGACGAAAGAAACCTGTATCTACTCTCGGCGAAGAAAATGGAAGAATTTCGACAAACGTTGACGCGGTTCAATGAGACACTCAAGAAGAAAAAGCTCTTCAGCAGTCTAGAGATCCCCGTCAGGAATCCTGCAGACTTCGACATTGACTATGTTCTCACAATAGCAGAGAGGATCAGTGAACGGACCAACAAGTCCGATGAGATGAATACTTGTAGACACTTCGCCCGCCAAATCTGTCACAAAGCAGTCAAAAATAAGAACATCCTGTATGGTCTCATTGGGTTGGCCCCAACCGACGCCTACGGATCTTTGATCTCAGGGGGATTTACTATCGCTCTAGCAGTAAGTGCAACTCACATTCGGAAAGCACGGAACGAAGAGTCGAAAACTGTGTTACACGCTGACGCCGCCTGCCAGGCCCTCGAAGCTCATGAAAATCTTCGCATCGAAATGGAACAATCATTGGCCCAAATTCCGAAGGAATTGAAGAGGATCAGAAGATTGAATGACGTCTACATTCAACGTGACGAGCTTCACAAGAATGCTGACGACGTTCTGGTCTCGATATTTACAGTGTTGGAGCGCATCATCGAGAAATTATCACGCACGTGGAAAGGTCAGTCGAGCTCTCCTTGCTTTTGTCGGCTTTCTTTGTCTGAGCTAGTTTTAACAAGTGACACAGAAAATATTTCTTTCAAATTCAAGGACAACGGAGGCAGTGTTCAGGATGCTCTGAAATTGTTCTCTGACAGCATTACGGATTTCAATAATGAGGCCGAGGTGTGTGCTCATCTAAGAATGGGCAGACTTGAAGAGACAGGCCAGGCAATCGAGTCTTCGATCCAGAAAATGTTCGACGGGCAAAACATAGATATTGAGAGTCGTAGGGATATTGTCGGCGCCGTGAACCAATTGTATTCATTCCTCGCCAGCAACCCGTCTTTCAACGCTGTTGATAGCACTGGTAAGGAAGCATGAGTCTGTTGGACGAATCTGGTCACTAATCCGAGTGAAAGTGAATAGGAAGTATCTGGCATCCACTGAGCGCAAAGATGATCGCAATCGCAGCGCACAGCTCGTGGATGAGTGGTTCAGGAGTCTTGAAGACTTCCAGCCGAGCTCGAAGGATGACGTCAAAAAGTTTATAGAGCATTCCGGGACGCTGACGCTCAAAAAGCAAGACAAGGTCCAATACATCATGGGTTGCCAGCAATTCCAGGACTGGCTCGGCAAACCACAATCCAGTGCCCTCTGCGTGCGTGCAGAGACAGCGCCCGGCGATATCGTCAACTTCGTCTCCGTCAGCACCGCAATGCTAGCTTTGACCCTTGGCGGGGCTACGGGATTCACCACTCTCTCTTTCTTCTGCAGCTTGCGGAAGAAAGATCCTCCTAGGGAAGGGGACTCAGGCGCCCTGGGCATTCTGAAGAGCCTCAATGGGCAGGTCCTCCAAATCATGCTCGACAGGCAGGTGCTAATTAAGCCAGCGCTTGACCAGAACGATAACTTGTGGAGCAAGTCGACTGAAAGTTTCAAGCAAGACTTTTCAGGAAGCTGATGGCATTGTTGCCTTCGAGGAGCGTGGTGTTTGTGCTTCTAGACTCTGTCTCTCGTGTCTCAGGCGACAAGGGTCTAGTGGACGATATTGCAAAAGGGATAATGCGGATTGGTAGACACGGCCCCAGTATCGTGGTCAAACTGTTATTTACAGATCCTGTTCCTAGTTCTCATATCTGGAAGGCGGCTGATTTCCAGCTGTATGTTCCTGATGACGTGGATGGTTGGCAATGCGGGATGAATGCAGAATCGATGAAGGGGGAGGAATGCTCCGAAGCTGCGAGACCTTGAAGAGCTACAAGACGAGTCATGATCATGGAACCTGAGGAGGCAGTCTTTGTAATTCTGACAAGAATGTTGGGCAGAAAGTAGGGGTCATTGCATTGGTCAGTCAAATTCATTGTCACTCGATCCTAAGGATGTCTTTCCACTCCCACCGCAAGAAATACTTCATGGTCCAACGTAAAGTCCTTCGAAGCTAGGGCAGGATTTCGATCCGCCAGTTCACTAACACGAGCAAATCCTTTCCATGCAAACTCTCAGGCCCCAGCAGCTCTACCTCACGGACTTCAATCCTGACCTCCTTTGCCTTCCCATTGATTCCGTTGCTCCTGACGGCCGCCCGGCAACCCTCCCTGGACCTTGTTCAGATTCTCGCCCGGATTGTTCTTGGCAAATGGCCCAGCAGAATTGTTGTCCAGCTCCTTCTCGGCGATCTTGCCGGGCTGGCCGACCATGTAGAACAGGGGGACACTGATGGCGAGGAGCATCCCCGCGATAGTCTTGTTGCGCATGCTCCTGGTTATTCTTTCATCAGCAAGCTGCTACCAATACTGACACATGTGAGAGTCGGCTCGACAGCGGGCGAGATACCTGTTCTGGTCCGCGCGCGCCTGGGGATCTGGAGGCTCCTGTCCGCCCGGGCCACCAAGATCGTCCTTCTCGCCCTCACCTTTGGAAGCATAGCGACGAGCCTGGAAGACGGCTGCAGGTCGTGCGACCTGGGCTTGCGCTCGATAGGTGGCGGACAGGCTGGGTCGCAAGGCCGTGGAGGTGAGTCTCAGAGCACAGGTGGAGGACATCTTCAATGTCGAGATTCGCTTTTGCTGTGAGTCGAGGTCTCCGATGTCGTGGTGGTGTGTATGGAAATGGATCGAGCTGGTTGGAATGACTTTGTTTTCAGGATTCAACGCAGGTGCAAATGTGATTAATTTTGTGAGGAATGGTTCGACTGGAACAGCAGTGTATGTATGAGAATGGTAGACGGGCTGTGATCGACATGCGTTTACCTCATAGTGGAAGTTGACGTTGCCATTTGGTGATTGACTCTAGGCGGAGCCATCGAACCTGCATGTGTATCACCCTATGGACGTTGACATGACGTGAGTGTTGTGGCATTTCTTATATCTCACACAATTGCCACTTCCTTCTAGTCTCCAGACGCCGCTGAAAGGGCAAGTGAGGACGAGCCAAAATGTCAGAACCGCACTGAGCCGCATTCAGAAGGTAGATAAATGAAATTCTGACGTTGGAACTCGAGCACCTTGCGCCGTTATACAGAGCGGAGCCGACAGAACCCCACACTGAGTCGGAGCCGGGCTGCCCGGTTCGGTACTCTCATATGCAATCAAACGTTCCATTTTGGCGCTAGTGACCTGTATATAATACCTTACACCAAAAATCGTATATATTTATTATGCCATTAGTTAATATTCTTAATATCATTAATTTATGCATTAATTAAGGTTATTATTATTGCTAAAAGCTTATATATAAATTATTATATATAATAATTACTTTTAAATATAATTTTTCGCCCTTTAACTTATTATTAAGGTTTATAAAAGCCGTTAATGCCCTATTAAAGCTTTAAGGAAATATAATTAGTATTAAGTGTTATTTATTTATATATAATTATAGCTAATAAGAATATTTATATATTATAAGGCTCTTAAGTAAGGCTATTATTATTAATGCTTTAAAGTTAATTTTGTATAATAATTGCAAGCCTTTAAATCATAGCCTTTATTATTAATTGCAATTTTAGCCTAAATGTTATATTATTTTTAATAGCAATCCCTTAAAGTTAATAAGTATAATATTTATAAAGAAGAAAAATATTATATTTATAGCGTTTAGTAATTTTTTTATAAAGAAAACTTAAATTATTATTAAGCTAAAGGCAAAGCCTTTTTCATTATTATTAGCAAAGCTTACTTAAAAGCTATTAATAAAAAGAAAATTATTACTATTAAAGAAGATATTTTTAAAACCATTATTATTATTATTATTATTAAAAAGCAGCCTTATTAAAGATAATAAAGAAAAGCTAAATCCCTTGCCTTATAATAATAAGGATCTCTTTGCTAACCTCTTTGCTAATTCCTTTATTATTAAAAATAATAATATTTAAAAAATTGTTAAAAAGGCTGCTATTAATAATTTTTTTAATAAAAATATTAAAATTAAATTATAAATAAATATTAAAGTTATGTTTTCCTTTTTTTTAATTAATTTAGCTAATTAATTTAGGGGTATTATTTTACTTATTCCCTTAATAAAATATTTAAAAGGGTAATATAATAAATTTAATAGTTTTTTTATTAATTAGCTTAATAAGTAACTTAAAAAGTTTAAGAAGCAAGTTTTTAATAACCTTAAAGGTTATTAAGTAAAGTATAAATTCTTTGCTATAATAATATAATTAAAAAAAAGTAATATATTAAAATTTATATTTTAATTAATAAGTAATAAATATAAATATTAAGATTATTTAAATATTAATATATAACCTTATAAAGTAAATTAAAGGTAAGGTAATATATATTTTAATTATTATATATTTCTTTTAAGTATTTCTTACTTTTTATATTATTTTAAGGCGTTAATAAGGTTTAATTATGCCATTATTAACCTTTAGGGGCTTTATTAATATTTAGTTTTATAAGATTAAAAATGCTGCTGCTATAAAAGTAAAAGAAAATAACTTATTTTAAATTAAGTAATTTAATGCTAAAATTAATAATATTTCTTAGCTAAATAATTAATTAAGTTTCTTAATAAGATTTATAAGAATTAATATTATATAAAAGGCTATTATTGCTTAAAGAAATGTTAAAACTAAGTTATTTGCTTAATTAAGTTAATAGCTAAAGTATTATAATAAAGAACGTTATTTTAATTATAAAAAGAAGTTAAAATTAACATTATAATGCTTTATTAAGAGGGATAAGATATATTTACCCTTTATATATAAGAACTTACTTAAGTAAGTTAATTTAATTAAAAAAAAGTAAGAAAGGGCTTTTTTAAATTATATTTCTAAAAATATATATAATTAAGCGTTATTTTACTTAATTAATTAAAAGCAAAATAGCTAAGTTAAAATATTTAATATTCTTTTAACTTTTAAGCTAAATAATAATATTCTTTTAGTTATATTAAGGCGCTTAAGCAAAGCTAATATGCTTAAGTTAAAAAGGGGTAATATAAATAACGGGAATATTATTAATATTAATAAAAGCAATAGCGATAATAATTAGCTTACATTAATACTTATAAATGCTCTTAATGGCCGTTTAATGCCTTAATAATTAGCTTTGCCACCATTAACATTATAAATAGCTAGGTATATATATATATTGCTTATAGCCCCTTTTTTTATTAAAATGCTAATAATAAGAGTTATATTGCCTTTATTATATTATTTATTAATATTTTCATTATTTTTAATAATGCTTAATAACCTTAAGAGTAATAAGCTATTAAATAATTTTCTTTAATATATATATTATTAAAAGATATGGTATTATTAAGAAAAGCAAAAGATAAGTTGCTTAGCTATAAAGCTTTAAAATATAAGCTTAAGCATACTTAAGAACCTTTTAGCATAATTAAATAGGTAGTTTATTAATTATTAATTTAGGAAGGATTTAAAAAGCTTTCTTTATTAATATATAAAGAACTTTATATGGGAATGTAATATATTAAAGGAGGGCATACTAAGTTTATTAATACCTTTAAGGGTAATTAAGAGCTATAAAGATAATACTACTATTAAAAGTAATTAATTATAGCTTATTTATTACATATAAGAGGGTGTTTTAAGTATTACTTTCATTATTATGGTAATAATAAATAAAAAGTAGTAAAGTTAATATTAATGCTTATAATGCAGTGGGTTTTATAAATTAGCTTAATTTATTTATATTTATTATATCTTAATATAAAATATTAATTTCCTTTATAAATTTTATATTAATTATAATAATAATATTATAAATAAAAAGATAAAAAGTTAAATTATTTAATATAAAAATTATATTATATTATTAATGGGTGCAGGGAAATGTAGGGAAAAGTAGTATTGCGTTAAATTTTAGCTAGCTATAAAAAGCTAGCTTTTTCGCTCTTTTAAATACTCTTTTAAAGAAATTAACTCTTTTCTTTTCTTATATATTTAGTACTTTAATTAAGCTTTTTTTATTTTTAAAAATTTTTAAAATACTTGCCTTTTTCCTTTTTTAACTCCCTTTTATTTTTATCTTTCCTTTTTATTACGTTAAAGCTCTTCTTTAAGTTATCCTTAAAAGGGTTTAGCAAAACCTATCTCTTATTTATTTAAGTGGCTTGTTTTTATTAATAATTTAGCTTAGGTATTATTGGCGGGTGCAGGGAAATGCAGGGAAAAATGGTATTGCATTAAATTCCGGCTGGCTATAAAAAGCTAGCTCTTTCGCTCTTTTAAATACTTTTTTAAAGAAATCAACTCTTCTCTTTTTTTATATATTTAATACTCTAATTAAGCTTTTCTTATTTTTAAGAATTTTTAAAATACTTACCTTTTTCCTTTTTTAACTCCCTTTTATTCCTATCTTCCTTCTTTATTGCATTAAAGCTCCTCCTTAAGTTATCCTTAAAAGGGTTTAGCAAAATTTATTCCTTATTTATTTAAGTAGCTTATTTTTATTAATAATTTACCTTAAACATGATTTTAATTTTATATATTTTTAATTAATAATAAAAGGAATAAAAAGTTAGCTATAAGCTAATTATCTTTTAATTTTTTTTTTTTTTATTTTTATATTAAATATTATTAAATTATTTTATATCTTAACTTAAAGCTTTAATTAAAGCTTATATTTATTTTTAATTTATTATAAAAAAGAATTAAATATAATTAAACTTATAATAATATTATAAATATCTTAAGATTATTTTTTAATTTTAAAATATTTTTTATACTTTTAATATTTAAATAAAATATTACTTTAATCTTATATTTATATATTATTAAGCTTTAAATTTATTTTAAGTTTTTTATTAAAGATTATATTTAAATATAATAATAATATAAATATAAAACTTAAAATAATAAATTTAAATTTATAAATATTATTTAATATTAATTAAAGATACTTTTAAACTTTTAATTAATATTTATTATTATTATTATAACTTTAAATTTAAAGTAAAGGGAGTTATAATGCAAAATTAAGGCGCTTACTTTGCTTACTTATAAATTTAATAAGTAATATTATATTATATATTTTATATTAATTAAATTATATAAAAGGCTTAAACTTAAAGTATAATCTTACTTAAGCTTTAATTAAATTTAAATTTAAATTATTAAGGAATTTAATATAATATTAATAAATAAAAATATTAAATATAAATTTAAAAAGCTTTTTTTATTATAATTTTATAATATTTATCTTTTAATAAAATATTTTTTTATTAAATTTATTTTATTTATTATACCTATTAATATTTTTATTTTTTAAGCTTTAATTTAAATATTTTATAATAATATTGAAAATAAATTTCTTAAAAGTAATTATTTTAATTAAAGATATTATTACTTTTAAATTTCTTTATCTTATTATTATTTTAATAAGAATTATTATAATATATATATTATATTTTTTAGCTTAAAGTTTTTTTAAACTTACTTTTATTTTAAAAGTACTTTTAAACTTTAAAAATTATTTTTTTTTTTATTTAAAGTTAAGAAAGAAATTTTAAAAAACTTATTAAAAAAAAAAGAGATTTAATTTTACTTATTATTAATTAAAATATT